GCCTGATTGCATACAATCCGCCAGCACCGCGGAAGATCCAACCTCCTCTGCTGGGGGAGAGGCTCCGTTGCTGTCGAAGGGGCAGGACGATGTCACAACGGAGTTTTTGGAGGATTTGCCAAAGGAAACGCAATGCTTTGATGCAAAGCCGCATACGGTGACGAGCGATCTTACCACGGATGCTCCATCAATGAAAGACCGTATTGAACCTCTAACGAAAGAGGTAGATGGTGCTAACGTCATGCTTGAGGGAGCCATTGCACGCCGCGCGTATTTGGGTATTGACCCAGCTATTTTGGGTAACAAACAAATGGTGGAGCGTGTGGCGAAGGTTGAAACTCAAATTGGCATTTTAGAAGAGAAGCTGAATTACTTTGCTGAGAAGTTCGAAGTCTCCAATACAGAGTCTGAGACGCATACTGGAGAGTCTGCACCCAAAACAGGCAGATGTACTTCTCCTGATGCTGTCGCAGAGGCCAAAAATAACCATTTGGACATCTCCACCAAGAGTCACCATAGTCAAGAACGCATCAATCGATATTTGAAGGAAGATCTGGAGCTCGCGGCGGTTGGCCTGCGCACTGAGGCAGCGGAGCAAATTGGTACGGCTTGCAATATAGCTGCAACTGCTAGTCCGAATGGATTACATTTTATGGAGGGGAATATGTTATTGCATTCTGCATCGGGACAGACGGCGGTGTTGCCCGTTCGCAGAAGGATGCAAGTGTCGAGAAAAGAGCCCGAGAAGTTTTCTTTTGGCCCATTCAAAGCGCCTTCCGTGCCAATTACTTCCGGGAGTCTCTCAAAGGCGGTCACAGAGATACATGAGCGCAAGCGACAGAAGGAGGGTGCTGTGAAGGAAGTCATTGCCGCTCTGCGCGAGGTCCAAAAGCGCTTTTCAGAGTTATCGGATAGAGAGTCAGCTACCCAACGCTGCAGCGCACGTCGAAGCGGACAAAAGCATTTGACTTCCCGTACATGCGGCGACCCTGTCAGTTTGTTAGAGTTCATAGCAACTCAAAAGGAGGCCATATATTCGAAGGAGAAGCAATTGCTGGATCTGCGTAACACACTTTGGCGCGAAATCGCGCAGCTTGAGGAGGACGAACGGGAGCTCTTATCGTTACAATCCTTATAAATACTCTTCAGTAACTATTCCGTGTGTGTGCGTTTGCGTGTATGCCTGTATTTGATGACTGTTGTTTTTTTCCGGGTGTGTTTTCTTCTTTATTTATTATTATTATTATTTATTTATTTATTTATTTTATTTTTTTTTTGGATTATATCTCTCTCTTGTTTCTTTGAATACCGATTATCTTTCTGAATTCCTTACCGTTCTGCTCATAATACACGTCCGTGTGGTGAGTTGATGACATGCACATCTCACACGAAAGTCTTCTTTGGGGGGTAAATGACGGACGGACGCTGAGATTTGTTGGGTTTTGTCCACTCATCTTTGTCATTCATTTCTTACTTTCTGCTTTTGTTGCTGTCTGTGTTTATGCGTGCAGTTTTAAAGTAAAAGCAGCAACAAGAACAAAAAGTACAACACAAAAAAATTTACGGCGCGCTGAATTAAAGAAAAAAATAAAATAACAGTACTATTTCCGTTTAATCTCCATTTTTACAGATGCTTCGTCGTTCTCTTTTACGCATGTCTGGCCTAGACAAAGTCGTTGCATTGTCGAAGGCTGTCGGTGACATCAAATCTGGGGCCTCACTGGCCGTTGGTGGCTTTGGAACGGGAGGCATGCCGCATGCACTCTTGAGGGAGATTAAAAAAACTGGCGTGCGGGACCTTTGCATTTACAGTGACGCTGCCGGTACTGATGGTTACGGCGTCGGCTTGTTGTTTGAGGATAAGCAGGTTAAGAAGATGGTGGTAAGCTACGTTGGTAACAACAAAATATTTGCCAAGCAGTACCTAGAGGGTGATTTGGAGCTGGAATTTTGCCCGCAAGGCTCTCTCGCGGAGAGAATGCGTGCAGGGGGTGCAGGTATTCCTGCTTTTTACACGGCCACTGGCTTCGGTACGGTGGCGCAGACGGGCGGCCAGATCACAAAGTATAATGCGGACGGCTCCGTTGCTTGCGAGTCTAATCCGAAGGAGACACGTCTTATTGACGGCCGCTGGTACGTCATGGAACGCGCCATTTGCACCGACTTCTCCCTTGTGAAGGCATGGAAGGCCGATAGGAGTGGCAACCTTATATTCCGTGGCACCTCTCGCAATTTCAACGTCCCAGTCGGCCAGTGCGGCCGCACCGTCATTGCGGAAGTGGAGAATCTCGTCGAAAATGGCGAATTGGATCCCTGCCATGTGCATCTGCCGGGAGTTTACGTGGACCGTGTTGTGGTGCCTGAACGGTACACTACACCGATTGAGAAGCGCACAGTCAGCCGTCCCCACTCGGAAGAGAAAACTAAAGCGATGACGCCGGGTGAGGAGGCCCGTCAACGCATTGCACGCCGTGCTGCACTCGAGTTTTCCGACGGCATGTATGTAAATTTGGGTATTGGTATCCCGACAGAGTCAGCGAACTACATCCTTCCAGGTGTGACTGTGGTGCTGCAATCTGAAAACGGCCTTCTTGGTATGGGTCCTTTCCCTGAGGAAGACAAGGTGTCCCCCGATTGGATCAATGCAGGTAAGCAGACGGTCTCGTATCTCCCTGGTGCCGCTACTTTTGATAGTGCGACCTCCTTTGGAATGATTCGTGGTGGACATATGGACATCACAATGCTTGGCGCTCTTGAAGTAAGTGCCAACGGCGATCTTGCCAACTTTATGATTCCCGGCAAGTTTGTGAAGGGTCCTGGGGGAGCGATGGACCTCGTCGCGAGTGGGACACGTGTTGTTGTCACTACCATGCACTGCGACAAGAAGGGCCTACCTAAGATTGTTGAACGCTGCAAGCTACCATTGACGGGTAAGAACTGTGTCAACCGTATTATTACTGAATACGCCGTCTTCGATGTGGAAATGGGTCAGTTGGTGCTGAAGGAGGTTGCTGAAGGCGTCACCGTGGAGCAGGTGAAGAAAATCACAGGCGCTCAATTCCTTGCATGTGATGTGAAGACAATGCCGCTGGCGCCTATTCCTTAAGCGCTTAAAGGGGGAAAAAAAAAAACAACGAATACCGCATGCTTATTTTTATTTCTTCCTTCCTCCTCATAGTCTCGTGTTTTTGTTATTATTATTTTTTCTTTCAGACGCCGCCCCCATCGTTGTTGTTGTTGTTTTTTTTTTTTTTTTTCTTTTGATATTTATCTCTTCCTGGCCCTCCACTCTTGAATGCGACGCGCGGCAACCGTCATGAACTCTTGTTTTGTTTGATTGTTTTTCTGTTTGTTTGTTTTGGTTGTTGTTGTTGTTGTTGTCGTCGTTGTTTTTTTCTCCAGAAATAATAAATAATAAAAAAACAATAAAACCAACAGACAAAAAACAATAAAACCAACAAAAAAAAAAAAACGAAGAGAATGATGAGTGTATATGTTGTGTCGTCAGATGTTTCTTGTATGTATGTATATGTATGTATATATATATATATATATATATATATGCGCATATAGTAAATACATATATAATGGTATTAATAATAATAATAATAATAATAATAATAATAATAATAATAGTAATATTACAGTAATATATAATAGTGATAATAATACAATACCAACATACATGTGTGAAATGTATAATTATATGTGTTTATGTTTGTTTATTATTACAGAGGATGCGGCGGTGAGAGGGAGAAAGAAGAAGAAGAAGTGTTTTTTTTTTTTTTTGTTGTTGTTGTGTGTATGTGTGTATGTGTGTTTTCCTTTGGGTGAGTTGTTCATGGGGCAAATGAAACAACGCAACAGCACTTCTTTACGTTGATGTGAGACCACCAAAGACGCCAGCAAAATAATAATAAATAGAAAATAACAACAAAAACAACAACAGCGGCGCATAGAGAGGCAAGAGAAACAGCAGCAAAGGGAAGGTAAAAAAAAAAAAAAAAAGTGACTGAAGGAATGGGTAGTAATGTGGGCGAGGCACTTATTTAGGATGCCTGCAGCCTTCGCCTTTCCTGTCCTTTTTTTTTTTTTTGTCTCGTGCGTATTATTGTTTCTCTGGCTGACAGCTGTTGCGAGTACGTGACGAGCATTCATTCTGAATGCACGCGTGTCTCTCATGCAATCTGCTGACAAGGACGCACAAGGCGACTCTTGACGCACCGCAAAAAAAACGGAATTCGGGGAGTTGGAAGGGAATATTTTTTCCTTTTTTTTTTTTCTTTATGTTTAATTATGTTTTCCTTCAACTCTCCTTTTGGTTGTTGTTTTTGTCCTTCCCTCTGCAGTGAATTACGCAGCACGAGAACGCATTTCAGGGCAGCAAGGCCGGGAAGAAAGGACGTCAATGAAAATACATAAGGAGTGTAAATAAATAAATATATATATCTATATTTGTGTTTTGGATTAAAAAATGATAACAAAGAAAAGGGGGGTGGGAGAAGTTAAGCGGAGATGACGAAGATGATGTCTCTTTGCCCCGTCCCCCGACACTCCCGCATGTGTGCATTCCAACCAGCAGCGTGCGAAGTTGCGGGGCGGGTGAGGAGAACATCAAAAGAGAAAATAATTTTTTATTTTTTATTATTCAACGCCAGAAAAAAAAAAAAAAAAAAAAGAAAAACCACGTAATACTCTTGGAAATAAAATAAGAAGGGAAAAAAAAAAAAAAAGAATGAATGGAGAAAGGGAGGATGCGTGCCCGCCGGTAATATATATATATATATATGTGCATATGCAATATGCATTTTCTTGGGGTACTTGTGTACATTTGCCTACGAAATCCCTTTTTTCTTTTTTCTTCTGTTTTACGTCATTTGTGTTGTGATGCCTTTATGGGGTGGTGTGTATTATTATTATTTATTCCATAAGCACCTGCGTGTTTTCACGTATTTTGAGTCATTCACATAAATAGGCGGATAAACAGAGTGCGGCTGAAAATGTTTCGTGAATCAAACATGGGCGGTACACAAGATTGGCGGAGTACGAAACCATCCTCGAACGTCCACTTTATTTCTTCTTCCACCTTCGCTACCGCACTGGCAACGCGGTCATGTCGGACATTCCTGCAGTTCACGCACTCCCCCGCAGTGGTGGAACTTCTTTCTGAATGGCCGGGAATTGGAAATGACATGGAAACATACGCTCTTCAGCTTCGCAATTTAGATGACTTGGCAGGTTTACTTCAGTGCATCAAATTCTCTCAGGGCACGACAAGGATGGGCGCCCAGGTTTCTCGCACTCTTCGTGGGGCATTTGCGGCGGACAACATGGGGTCGTTGGGCTCTGATTCTGGAGCGAATTTACCTTCTGCGACAGAAAGCAACCTGATTGGTTGGCTTCAGCTGTTAGTTTGGACTCGGTTTTTTGCGGTGTTTTCGATGCGGCAGCTAGCTGCCATTCACGATCAAATTTCGTGGTACTTGTGGTACTGGTCGTGGGCGGAGGTGCACTCCGCCAGGGCCTCTGTGCACCTTGCACTTGGAAGAACGTGGTGGTGGGAGGGTTTCTTGCGTCGGGGCTGGATGGGGCAGGTGTTGTTGGTGAAGTCATACGCCATTGCCCACAAGTCTGCCTTGAACCGCGTCCTTCACGGTGTCGTGCGGACCCTTGGGGCTGTGTACAGTCTGGTGGATCGCATGAATACACTTCTTTCCTCCATGGAAGACACGGCCGCGGGTGATCGTCTGCTGTCGCAGGAGCCAGGCGCGGGCATTTCGACGGAGATTCCGCCAAATTATCATCGTTTGGTGTCTAATGTTTGCGCCACGGTGGTTTCAACGATGAAATTAATGGCACACACACTGCGGCCACAAGGCACCACCGGCTTCCTCGACACGCATTCCAGAGGGATGCCAGGGGAGACGCCGTACGTGGGAGGCTGCGCGGGTGAATTGATGATTTTTGAGTTCCCAACACGTACACCTTCGGAAGAGACACCGGAACGCATAGAGACCAGCGCCTCCTTGAAGGATATATTTAATTTACTACTGGACACACTCAACTTCACGAGAAACTATACAAAAAGCATCAGTGAGGACATTCACACACGTCACGTTCCTCCAAATGGCAGACACTGGCGGCGTCTCCTCTTGGCTGGTTGTACGGTTGTGCCCTCCGTGATATTGCTTTCATCACACAGTGTATCGAACCTTCGGCGAGTAGCGTCATCTGCACGTGTGGTTCTTCGCAGCCTGATGGAAAACTATGTTATGTACCCAATTAAAGAGATCTACAAGAGCCTGACGAGTAGTCGTCCAGGCGTTTTGGAACGACGACGCACTCTTGAAATGGAAATGGAGTCTGTCGCTAATATCATTCGAGATTACCACGAGGATTACTACCCAAGCATCCCACATGATGAGCTTCAGCGTTTACGTGATCGCACCCTTAAACATCTTCGCTCAGGCGTGATTGCGGATGATGAGGGGTACTGTCTCATTAACCAACATTACGAAAATGCCATTCGACACCCCATCCGCAGTGCATTCTTTGGGAATTTGCTGCGGTTGATGCTCATTCAACTAACATACCAACAGCTGGAGGTGATGCGGGTTGTGAATTCCACCGACGAGGTCTTGGAGGGAAATGATTTGAACTTCAAAATTATGGCCATGGTGCCCGTCTTTCTTTTTCTGAGTGGTTTGCTGTTCATATCGTTTCAGAAGCGTCGCGCAAGTTTGCGCCCGGTAAATAACCAGCTGAAACTTTACTGGCGCTCGGTTCACCGCGTTGTGACGTTCCCGGAGGACCTCCATGACGAGTTCCATGTATCGCGTTCAGGCGATGACGTGTCAATGGACCAGACAAAAGACAATGACGCTTTGGAGCTGCTGGAGCTTGGGAGCGCCAATCACCTGAACAGCCATGACCAGGGAATGCTTTTGTTGCTGACCCACCACATGCGACGGTTGGCAGTGGAGTATCACGTGGGCTACAGCCATCTCCAAGAGTTTTTGGAGGACCTTGACGACCTTGAAAGTGTGCAGTCCACACGATATCAGCGCTTGCTGACGCTTGAGCGGATGCGGCATATCTACTACTTCCTCTGGTGATGTACGGGCGAGAGGGTTGTTCTTCACTTCGGTTTACTTCTTCCTTTTTTCGTCTTATCTACTTGTTTGTGAAGATGGCCCGGCAATTTACGCCAACGGTGATTCTTCTCGTTTATTAGTATTTATCGATATTTCTCTTCCTACGGTCACACACAAATGTGCACAAGGAATTTAAAAGAAAAACTCCTCTCTCTCTCTCCCTCCCTCCTACACACACACACACACACAAGCAGGAAGAAGGAAAAATTTTGGATTTCCTCCTTTTACAAATTTTTTTTCCCTTTATTTTCCCCCTTTTTTTTTTTTTTTTTTTTACGGAGCTGAAGGAATATTGAGCGATGTCTCACCGTAAAGCCAAGAAGGCCACTAACAAAAAATCCAATGCTTCCGCCGCTGCAGCGAAGCGTGCGCTGAAGGAAGCCGAGCATGAGGAGGTGGTTCAGTGGCTCGAACGGAATGACCCTTTGTATGAACGATCCAGGGTCCCACCCATCACCATCAGCGAGTTGCTCTCGGAGAAACTCAGCCACAGGACGTTTACAATGAATGACAAGGGTGAAGTGCCATACGATTGGTCCAAGTTACGCGCTGCGCTAGAGGGGAGGAACCCAAAAAGCCCGCGTTGGTTTATGCAATTACGCGAGGAAGACCTCCTGTTCGAAGATGTTTTGGACGGCGTGACTGTGGACTGTGTTGTTATTGCCGAGGCTAGTGTGCCGACACTTGCCCCAGCGCACTACATTGTGAAGATGCATATGCCTTTCAGTGATCCGGAGGACAATGCCCCGGAATGCATTTTACCCATCGAAGGGCAAGGCATGTGCTGGCGTAGTGTGGTGCGTGATAACAATTGTGATATTAACGCCTACTTATTACAAAAGCGAGAGACGAAATTGTACAAAAACTACGGTTTTAGCTTTGGAGATTTAGAAGCATTCGGCACCACCGTGCCTGCGAGTAACACATCTATACCAACTTTTACAGGTGGTTTTGGCTTTGGTGCCACGCCAGCATCATACAGCAATGTACCACCCAGTTTTGGTTTTGGCGCTTCAACAAATGAAAAAGGGTTTTCGTTATCCCCAAACACCGCCTCATTTGACGAATTTGGTTCAAAGTCACCGTTGAAAGCGACCCCGCTAAAGACGAGCGAGGTTTTGTTTGCGCTTTGGTCAAAAAAGCGTCTCTCTGACATGGCGAGGTCCCTTAAATCAGGTAGCCGCATCCTGAGAGAGAATTTTAAACCGAGTCCCTCGGCTTCAGAAATAAGGCTTGTGATGCAGAATGACTTCAAGGACGATGTTTCTAAGACGGTGAAGCAGCTGATTCTTAACAAAATTTTTGCCAAGCGCTCTGACGAAGTTATGGGGGTTGACCAGTGGATAGAGAAGTGCCCCGTGTACGATGAACACTTGACAGCCGCCTTGCAGAAGTTTCGTGCCCATTACGTGCAAAAGGTTGCAGAAGACTCTGATGTGTTTAAAGCTTTATACAATGAGTGCCATGAATCGATGGAGAAGGAATTGAATCGCATCGTGGAGTTGCGCAAGGCGGTGGTGCAGCAGCAGTTAAGTTGCATCGAGGAGATTATGGGGCAGCTGAAGGAGGGCAAAATGGCGGAGAAGCGGACATTCCGGCTTTTGAAGTATTATCCTGCAAATGATGTCGTGCGATTTCGCCCGTTTGGAAAAGTGAGCGGCATTTCAGAAATGGGGGAGAGCGCGGACGTGTGCGAGCCGCCAGCGCCTGTTCTTGTTAACCCCTTCAATACCGCACATTCCGCCAATTCTCCGTGACGCGGCAACACAACGGCAGCCGGGAGGACTGTGGGGATGAAGAGGGATATATAAATTGAAGTAAAAAGAAAAAAAAGGGGAAAAAACAGAAACGGAAAAAAGGGGGAGGAAATACGCGGGTGGAGGAGGAGGAGTAATTGGCAAAGGAAGAGTAGAAGGAAACTCGCACTGATCAGAATTCTCTGATGGGTTTCTTTTTCTTTGAATTCCCCGCTCTCTTCCAGTTCACCGCCATCTCTTTCTCTTTTTCTTACTATCAGATGAAGTTGTAGGCTCGACGGCATTTTGTGGCCTCGTGCAACCTGCTCACAGGTGCGTGCACCACAAATACGGAGTTATATATATTTACCTGTAAAGGTAAGCGGGGGGATTTATGCGAGCGGGGTGGGTAAGACTGTATGAAGCAATAGATAATAGTAAAAAAAAAAAAAAAAAAAAAAAACACGCGGAAGGTGATAGCAAAGCATAACAAAAACAAAAGGGAAAAGGGATGCAAATACATGAATGGATAAATAAGTGTATGCAGAGGTTTTTTTTTTTTTGTTTGTTGAAGGGTATTTATTAGATAAAAAAGAAAAATAAAAGCAAAAACAACAAAAAAAACCGAACCAAGCAAAAAAAATATTTTTTTGATTGCGATTGTCCGTGTCAAACTGTTCAGTGTATGGGAGAAGACGAGCTTCGTTTGGGTGCTCTATCCGCTTTGTTTTCTAATGTTGCGTTGTCTACTAAAAATTCAATTTTTCTTAGAAGCGGGGACGCAGTGACTAGCGATGGGACAGGAGGGGAGCAAGGTAAAGGAAACATTAAAGGGCATATGTGGCCTTCAAGTTGCGCGTGTGCTGCCCCGAAGCCCCGCTCATAATGTGGGTTTAGTTCCTTTTTTCGATATCATCACCGCCGTTGACGATTGTCCCCTTGTTGACGAGGATGTTGCTGTGATGCAGTTTAGGTCATTTGTGGCCCAGCGAAAAAATAGTCAGTTGTTATTGAAGGTGTACAATTTGCATGTGCGCGCCTATAGGGAATTGGTTTGTTTTCCCAGTACGTCTTGGGGAGGCGCGGGGTTGTTGGGGTGCAGTATTGAATGGTGCCGTGCAAAGGACTGCTTAAGACGCAGTTGGCACGTTGTGGGAATTCTTCCAGGGAGTCCGGCGGCTCATTGCGAGGAACTTCGAGCAGAGCGGGACTTCATCATTGGTATGCAGCGGCCAGAGGAGCCAGTCGTTACGCTTTTAAAGGATGAGGATGACTTCTACGGAAGGGTGGATCTGTGGCGCAGTCTTCAGCGGGTGGCAATTCAACGTCTGAACCGTAACTCAATGGCTCTCCCCGCAGGGGCCGATGGCAAGGCTGCATCGAGCGCCGACATTGGGAGGCTTCTACTTCTCGTCTACGACGCTTTGGAAAATGAGGTGAAGGAGGTGGTGTTGGATGTGGGTCCTGACGTAGATGCACCGTTAGGACTTAATTTGGCAGCGGGACTGCTGCACTCGCTAATCATCTCTTCCCCAATGGAGGAACGCAGAAGCCTCAGCGGCAGTAATGGCAGTACGGATGGTAACAACAACGACAATGACGGTGGCTGTGCGACAAACAGGAGACTCAGTCTACCAGTTATGACAACTTTTTTGACAAGTTTGGGTGTGATGGAGAGAAGCTTGCCCGCGACGCCGTTGCAAACGCCTTCCAGAACAAATGGTGGGATGCACTCCCATGACGAGTTGCCGGACCCCGTGTCAACGATGCCTCCAACTCCTACACCGTACAGAACGCTGGCTCCACCTGATTTTCATGAAATTACAATGCCTTCTTCCAAGCCGCTAATAGGAAGAGAGGGGGTGATACAACGGCAAGATTGCTTGGCGACACCGGGTGCCGTGGATATGAGCAGGGCTCTACCTGCTGCGGGGGAAGTGGAACTCGGGGAACTACGTATCCCGTCGGTCCTTCATCCGGATCGCAAGACGATACCAGCTATTTCCCAGGGTTGTTTGACGAATACTGTCGGTAGTGGTTTGGAAGGACTGACAAATCCGTGCACCGTTTCACAGGAAGCAGCTTCTAATGCACTGCCACCAGTCATAACAGAGAATGGGAACAAACCTCCGCAACCAACAGCGCAGCGGGGGGAGCAACACGTAGGGACAAGTTCTAGCGGCATGCAGCGCCATGGACCTGTCGCTCACGGTGCTTCGTGGAACACATGTCTTTCTGCTAACAAAATTTTTAATTCTCCGCCACAGTCGACGCTCCTCAAAATTCCCCCGCCGCTACATTTCCCAATCATACGGCCAACGACACCTACGCCTTAGAAATAATTACAAGGTTGGGAGAAAAACGCTCATCCGCGTGTCTTTTTTTTCCCCTCCAATTTCCACTCTCAAACCAAGAATAAACAGCCGGCGAACAAAAACGAGACGACAACTCGAAACTGAAAGCGAAGAGAAAACCGACAAAGAAGGGACAAGAAATGAAAAGAAGGAAGAAAGTTGAAGTGGGTTGGTAGAAAGTACAAGTGATTTTCTTCCTCTATTTTCTATTTTATTCGTCTACGCACACACACACACACACTCTCTCTTTTTTTTTTTTTTTTTCTTTTTTTTAAAAGTTTTATCTTGTTTTTCTCGCTGAGTTGCCAACGATTGGGGGTTAAAAAGTGTGTTATTTCAAAATGTTGAACTGCTTTTGAACTCATTCCGCGGATTTCCGCCTCAACAGTTACTCACCTGCACATGCGTACACGCGTGCATGCGCACACACGTATATACTCACCCACACGACGCCTTTCTCCCCGTGACTTTCTTCAGTTGAGCGAAAGGGACACACACGCACACGCAGAGTTGTTTTTTTTTTTTTTAATTAAAAGGTAATATCTAAACAAACAAACAAACGAAAATAATAAGGGAAAAAAGTTGGCGAAAAAAAGTTAAGAATGCGGCGCGTATATCAAAGAATCTGTCGGGATGCTCTTAGTCACAGCACCCCGTCGGGCCGCGCGGCTTTCGCTGCTGCTATCAGTACTCTTTCCGCCGCTTGTGACAGCAGCCGAGGCGGTAACAAAATACGTGCTGCTCTGGCAACCCCCATGCGCTTTTGCTCCACCTCGAGCGACGCAGCGACAAAAAAGCCGGCGGACATCATCGACGAAGACGTTGTTATCGACCCAACACCCGCGGCGAAGGATGGATCTACAGGCGCTGATGGAGCCTCGCCATCATCATCATCGGCAAAGCCCAATGAAGATTCCGAGCGGGTGGTTGGAGAACCGGAAGAAATGGGATTCAAGACGGAAACACGACAGCTGCTGGATATTGTTGCCTGCAGTTTGTACACTGAGAAGGAGGTATTCATTCGTGAACTGGTTTCAAACTCCAGTGATGCTTTGGAGAAGCGCCACCTGTTGGAGATCAGCAAACCGGAGGAGTACCCGCGTGAGGAGGACGACGAGGCTCCCCTCATTGCCATTTCCTGCAACCAGAGCAAAAGTCGCTTTGTTATTCGCGACACGGGTGTCGGCATGACGAGAGAGGAACTTGCAGAGAACCTTGGCACCATTGCGGGCTCCGGATCAAAGGAATTTGTGCGCGAGCTGCAGAACGCCGCGTCCGGTGCGCAGGCTGCTGAAAAAATTATTGGTCAGTTTGGTGTTGGTTTCTACGCTTCTTTTATGGTGGCGAAACATGTCAAGGTATACAGCCGTAGTGCGAAAAAGGGCAGTAAGGGTTTTCTGTGGGAGTCGGATGGCACAGGCACGTTTAAGATAACTGAGTGCGAGGGTGTGGACAAGGGGACAAAGATTGTTCTTGACGTCAAGGACACGGAGCTCTCCTTTTGCACTCCACAGGTGTGTGAACGTGTTTTGAAAAAATACAGCAATTTTGTTTCGTATGAGATAACACTTAATGGCGGGAAGGTGAATACGGTCGAAGCACTTTGGATGAAGGACAAGAATGCCGTTTCCAATGAAGAACATATCGATTTTTACAAATTCATCTCGGGTGCATATGACAGTCCCATGTTCCGTCTGCATTACGTCGTGGATGCTCCTCTTTCCATCCGTGCCTTGCTGTACGTTCCACAATCCCATACTGAGAAGTACGGTGGGGGCCGTATGGAGAGTGGTGTCAACCTTTACTGTCGTCGCGTGCTCATTCAATCCAAGGCAAAGGGCGTGCTTCCGGAATGGCTACGCTTTATTAAAGGTGCGGTGGACTCGGAGTCCATTCCCCTCAACGTGTCGCGTGAACACACACAGGACGGAAGCATGATGCGACGTTTGTCGACGGTGCTCACCAAACGCATTATTCGTTGGCTGGAGGAGGAGGCAAAACAGGATCGACAGAAGTACGAGCGTTTTATTCAAGAATACGGTCCCTTTCTAAAGGAGGGTGTATGCACGGATCAGGTGCACAAGATGGAATTGGCAAAGTTATTGCGCTTTGAAACCACAAAATCCGACATTGATTACCCTCTTGTCTCCCTGGAAGAGTACCGCGACCGAATGCTGGCAAATCAGACCCACATTTATTACATCAACGCCCCTTCCAAGGAGATGGCACTTCAGTCGCCGTACTACGAGCAGTACAAGGAGCACGAGCTTGAGGTGCTTGTCTGCACCGAGCCCATTGATGACTTTGTGATGCAGCACCTGGACACGTACGCGAAGCACAAACTTCAAAACATTGAGATGTTTGACGCCTCCCTCGATGGAAGTGTGCAGCACAAGAAGAAACTGGAGGGGGAAAAGGAAGACGTGAAAGTTGAAAAGCAGCTGACAGAGGCACAAGTGAAGGGGCTAAGTGACTTCATTGCAAAACGACTGGTGGGTCGTGTGGGTGTTGTAAAATCCACAAGTCGTCTGCGTGACAGTCCCGCTGTCATTGCCGATCACGAGTCGGCACAAATGAGGAAGATTTACCGCGTCACTGGGCAGATGGCGGGCCCTCCCCCGAAGTACAACTTTCACTTCAACCCGAAGCACCCAATTGTGCGCAAGTTGTACACGCTCTCCATCTCGCCTGCCGCGGAGGAGGTGGAGACGGCGGGTCTTCTCGTGGAGCAGTTATTTGACAACGCCGTCATTTCCGCAGGGCTGCTGGAAGACCCTCGTTCAATTGTCTCGCGTCTGAACAATATCATGTCCCGCATGGTGGAGAATGTGCCGGAGCCGACGGCGGACAAGTAGCGGGGAGGAGACGGTGTCGACACTCAGCCACGCACATGTCTCTTTGCGGGGAATCTCAAGACTGTCGTGGTGATGATTTTTTTTTTTTTTTTGATTCTTTTTACTTTAAAAAAAAAAATATAAGTTTTTTTTTTTCCTTCTTTACTTGACGGCACCGACGAGAGGGAATAAAGGAGTGAAGGGGAGAAAGGAACAACGCAGCGACAAGAGGAAGGAAATGCGGAAATTGGGAAAACGCCTGAACCTCCTTTTCACTGAATTACACGATTTAAAACAAAGGAGGGAGAAACACATTCGTGCCTTTTGATTTGGGGTTTATTATTATTATTATTATTATTATTATTATTATTATTATTATTATTATTACTAATATTCATTCTGTCATCGCTACTTTTACTACGGTGCACAGCGTGGGAAGATGCGGAACGGGAGTCCAGAGCAGAAGTTGGAAGGCGGTGGCGTTTGTAACCGACACGCTGAACGAACAAAGAAGTGGAATAAGCCGAGAGTACGTGCATGTGTATGCCACACTACACACGCATGGAACCCCGGCCAGCAATCGGAGATGTCATCAACTTAAAAAAGAACATGTCTTTGGATTTCTTTATTTTCCCGTCCGTTTGGGTGTCTACGCTGTACGCCCATCGCTAAGCAACCCGCTCTGCATGCCGTAAGGGGTGCATTTCATTTAAACTCTCCCTCCCTCTTTTTTTAAAAAAGGTGTTTATGCTGGACTTGGTAAATATATCATTTAAATTAAAATTCTCTCCTTCTCCCTTTCTCCATTCTTTCTGCTTCTTTTTTCCTCCGCCGTGCCTTCACTGCGAGTGCAGGGTAAAATGGGTGGGCATTCGAAGAAGCATGGAAAGGGCGGTGGTGGCGGCGGTGGCGTTGGAAGAAACCGACCACCCGAACAAAGAAAGAAGTTAACGAAAGATCCTGGCGTGCCAGACCTTAAGAAGGTGGCGCAAAACTTAACGCGGACGGCGCGAAATCGTAACCGCAGTGTTTTCAGCATTCCCTTTCTGCGTGGGGCGGCAAAACTCCCCTCCATCGTTGCCAGGACCGTTGCGGAGTCTAGCGAACCGCCCCAAACGGAGGAGGAGCGCATGGCGTCAGAGCGGCGTTCGATGAGAATGCTTGCCCTTCAGTGTGCGGGGAAGACATACCAGTATGAGGCACCAAAGCAATGGCTGGATGAAGCGGAAGCTCAAGATTGCATGTACGATGAAATGGATCGACGGTGCGCGGACAAGTCCCTTCGGCGTTTTTACAAGGAATTTCAAAAGGTTGTTGAAAGCAGCGATGTGATTCTTCAGGTGGTTGATGCCCGTGACCCACTTGGGTGCCGATTAACACAGTTGGAAAGAAATATTCGTTCTCAATTCGGAGATAAGGGGAAAAAAATGGTAGTGGTTCTTAACAAAGTAGATTTGTTACCTTCAAAGGAAGTGGTTGACAGGTGGATACACTTCTTTGAGTCACACGAAGGGGTTGAATGCATCCCCTTTACGACAACAGCAAAAGGAACCGTTGGGCATAGTTATGTTGCTAACATGTTCCGTCGTCTACGTGCGCTGGCATTAAATGAGGGGACTGGGGCACACAAATCAATTGTGGTGGGTGTTATTGGCTACCCAAATGTGGGGAAGAGTTCCATTATCAATGCTCTCAAGCAGAAACACGTGGTTGGTGTTGGTAACATGCCAGGATTTACAACCGGCAACACGGAGGTGGAGTTGCGCTCGGATATTCGTGTGATGGACTGCCCTGGTGTTGTGTCTCCTGGTGAGGATAGCGGCGATGTCGTTCTGCGCAATGCCGTGAAGGTTAGCAACCTTGCGGATCCCTTCACACCCGTGCAGCGACTTATTCAACGTTGTACACAAGTTGACACGGATGACCCCCACAGCCAGCAGCTTTTCGCGGCAGGAGTCCACCCCCTTGCACTCTTTTACAATATTGGTACATTTGATACGAATGACACTATTGGGTTCATACGCTTGGTTGGGCAAAGACGAGGAAGGTTACGTCAGGGAGGTGAGATTGACGAGGAAGGCACTGCACGCATGATTTTACAGGACTGGAACGACGGTCGCATTGCTTACTACACTTTGCCGCCCAAATCAGATCTTTTTGACCGCGAAACGCTGACAACGATGGCAGAGGAAGAAACAGCGGAGGGGGTGATGCTGACGGCGGCGGAAAGGTTGTGCGGCCCACAGGTGGTGGATTCCCTCGCAAGTGGCATGCAGTGGGATGGTCTGCCGACGTTTCATATCTCATGGGAACGGAGGGACGGAACGAGCCGTCGTTGCACGCGTTACGACAAAATGAACACCCAAAACGGCGTGGAGTCATAGCGCCGCGTTTCTCATTGTGATTGCCGTCCCGCGGCAGCACACCATCGCCAGCAGAGGCCTTCTGTTGGAAACATTTGTTCCGTTTTTTTTTTTTTTTTTTTTTTGGTTTGGTTTGAGTGAATAACAGGGCGAAGCAGAGAGGCCGAACCGTTTAAAGTAAAAAAGCGAAAATGAAGGCGGGGAAACACGCAGCCATCTACCCAAACAACCCCTCCCCCCTTCCCCCCCCCCAAAAAAAAAAAAAAAAAAAAAAGTGTTTCTTATCACTACTTTGACGCCCTGCCGGTATCCCGTGACACTCTTTTTTCTCTTCTGGACGCACAAATACACACATGCACACACACAAACGCATACTTAGCGATGATGTTTCACGATTCGACGATCACTCCCGTCGTGACGGTGCGGCGGCGTCAAAAACAGCGTCCCGCAGTTCGTAGCCATTACAAACTGGACGAAGTCGCAGCGTTTATTCTTGCTGGAGCCTCTTCTTCACCTGCCTCAAGAACTCCCTTTCAACGGATTGCGCTGCAGTTCCCGGATGACTTACTTGAAGACGCCATTGCCGTGACCGAGACGCTGAAAGGCCTTTTGGCCGAGGACCCGCGTCGCGCAGATGTTGTGGGTGACTCCGCTCGTGGAGTAGAGGGTGACCTCATGAAAACGGAAGAAGTAAAAGTTGATGATAAAAAAATACGTTTGTTTGTGGTGGCTGACAACACCTTTGGGTCCTGCTGTCCGGATGAGATCACCGCGCAGCACTACGGCAGTGATTGCATCATTCACTTTGGGGATGCATGCATGAGTAGATCCACACGTATTCCAGTGTTTTATGTGCAGGATGACTTTCGGTTTGCTGCGTTCTCAACGTACCCACAAGAAAAGGAGAGGGTAATTTCAGTACGTGTTGTGATACGTGCGGTGAAATTATTGAGGTGTCGCCTGAATAAATTGTGTCGCGTCTTGGAGGGAAATGATATTTCAGCGGCTGTTTCTTTGATCGTTCTTGGCAGCCATCGCTCGCGGAGTCTTGTAAGTGCTTCTGCATGTCATTGGGATGATAAAGAAAGGACAGCAGCATCAACGGACAATAAAGTGTTGGTTGAATGGTGCAGCTTTGACCACGTTCAGGCGGCACCCGACAGATCGAATGCATCCTTTTCTTCATTTACTGAAGGATCTTCATGGGTTCTCAACGGTGTGCGTTTCTCTCGTGCCGGTTCTGGAATGCTGCAGTATTTCCTGTTTGTTGGCGGCTCCAACGCCCCTTTGCTAATTCACCTTCTTAATGTGCACCAGTACAACCTCTTTCATTACCCGGAGGAGTTGCGTGAGACGGCATTTACCAGTGACAACCCTCATGTGCTGACAATACTTGATGAAGATTTTGGCCGCGGCAGTGACGCAGGGACTCTGGGCGATGCAGAGAGCAAGGACGGCCACAATGATGATGATGACAGTGTACGGAGGATGGACGCTGCGTTGGAAGCCCACTTTGATCGTAACAAGGGTAAGCTCATTGCCATTCAAACAACATTAAACAAGAGGATACGGCAACGCGCGTTTAACTTGGAGTTGATCCGCTGTAGCAGTGCTGTGGGAATTATTGTGGCCTCTTTAGCGATTGAGGGTTACTATGAAACGACAAGTTTGCTCCATCAACTTCTTCGTGCCCACGGAAAGCGGGCGTACATAATTTATATTGGACATCTAAACAAATACAAAATTGCTAATTTTGTGGACACTGTGGACTGTTTTGTCTCCATTGCGTGCCCCAATAGCCGCGAGGGTCACTTTCCTTCCAAAGAGGACGATTTTCCAAAGACGGTTGTGTCTCCCATTGAAGTTCTGGTTGCTCTGCGAACAGAAGACGGTGACTCTCCGCTCTTCGGACATCCTGCGTTTTACAACACGACATTGGACACTGTTCTTCCGCTCCTGCGCGAGGCCATGCTTGCAGTGGAGTGTGAACGTGCCGAACGAAAGAGCGCCGTCATTGCAGTGCCAATGGGGAGTGGGAGTGGTGCCTCTTTGATTCGTGCGTCCGCGGGTGTGGTTGCCACGCAGGGTGCTAATGGCGCCCTGCATCGCCTGTATGAACGTAGCTTTGTTGGACTGGACCCGAAAAAGGGGCAGACACCAGTGCAAGAGGGGATTCTTGAGGGACGCCATGGGATTGCACGTGGCTACGCCTCGGAAAGGGAGCAACAAGAGGGGAATTTGTATTAGTCACAAGTGGTGTGCCGCTTCAAATGCGCTTTTCGACCCATCGAACAAAGTGGCTTTTTGCCCCATCTAACTTTAAAACGGACAGCAATCATTTTTTTGCTGTTGCTGATATACGCATACACGCGTATATATAAATTAAAACTATTATCATCATCGTCACTTTTTTTTTTATTGAATGGGGTTTGATTGTGTTGACTGCCGCGTTTTCTCTTTGCTTTTTTTTCTTTCTTTGCTTTTTTTTTTTTTTTTAATTTTGTGCGTGTGTGTATATTATCTGTGCGGGTCTTTGGACTTATCATTCGTCCAGTGAAGGCCTTTTTTTTTACTGATGATGATGCCCCTCCTTGAGGTTGGGGACGAGGGAGACGTTGCCCTGTAGAAAAAATTTGGCTTTGGCTCGCTTGTCGTCTTTTTGTCTTGCGAGGAGGTCGTCATGGAGAGGACGTTGGCGTCTGACGGAATGCACAGAATGCATTGCGGAGGGGAGAGAAATAAATATATATTTTTTCTCCGTCCCTGCCACCGTGTAGTTTGCTGCGGCAGCCGGCGCCAAATGCACTTTTATTTGCTGGTGGACGAGATGAGTGGCTGTGGTTATGGAAGAAAGGAGTCGAAGCAAAACCGTCTGTTCATGTGGTGACGAATATCTGAAAGCCACCGAGAGTTCCGGTGGTGAATGGCCGCACTGCGGGTGATTGGTAACGAATGCACACAAAACTAACGCGACGCTTTACGGTGGGCTGGGCACGAATTGCCGTGACGGATGCAAACGCACGGGAGGGGAAGGGGTGGAAGAAAATCCCTACAGACTTTATTCTGTGGCGACGCGTAGTGGCATCATTGCGGTTCGACGAGCCTTGGAGGAAACAGTTGTGTGTGCCGGACGGCCAGCGACGAAGTTGTTTTAGCTGCTGCGTGAGATCTTTACATCTTTTTGTTCTTTACTCTTTTTTTTTTTTTGTGTGTGTGTGTGTGTGTAGATAACATCAACAGAATTTTTAAGAGAAGGACAGCTAGCAAGGAAGAAAAAAAAAAAACTTAAAGAGAAGAAGAAAAAGGAAAAACAATCAAAAACAATAACGCACAATAAAAGGGAAAAGCAACTGGAAATACAAAGAAAAATTTCAAACTGCGAGGGAATAAATCGACGTAAATACACGTACTTATATTTTTCAACTTGCATACCCTTATACGTCTCAACCACGAAGCGCAGATGTTGGGTGATCCCGTTAACCGTCTTGAGGAGCTTCAGGCCGAACTCCTTTCCCGCCAGAATGCGCTTTCCTCACGCATTCAGTCCATCCTGAGTGAGACGGGCGAAAAAGAGCTGCCGGAATTACAGGTGTTAAGCGAAGACCGTGCGCAGCTGATCAAGGAGATCCAACACACCAAGGATGAGGGGGACGCCCTTCTGCTGCAGGTTGAAGGGAATGGGGAGGCTGCTTCCATGTATCGCGTCGCCGCCCGCGTGCAGCGCTTTGAAGAATTTGCCAACCGCGCTAACGAGTACGTGAAGAATGTTCTTCCGGAGGAGATTGAGCGTGTTGCTGACGCAGACAGGCACCACTCCGACGACGAGGTGGCCGCCTACATTAAGGAGCTGCAGGCGAAGCGCGAGGAGGAGTTGAGAAAGATCGGGATACTGAAGGAGCGGACAACAAAGCGGGCAAATGACTTGCGCAATGGTCCACGTGTTGAGAACGGAGAGCTGAACGCCCTGTGCCGTGTTTCGCGGGCGAAGGAGGAGGAGCTTGACAAGGAGACCAAGGAGACGCAGGAGTACGTTGATGAGGCGAGGCTAAAGAAGGCAGATCTGATCGCGAAAATCAGGGAGCTGCGCCAGGCAAAGTCGAAACTCCAGGTGGAGTTGCTGGACACGAAGCACAAGAACGAGAAGAAAGTCAATGAAATGAAGGCCCGTATTCGTCACGCGGAGCTCGCCAACAAACGCGATATTCGAGTGTGCCAGCAGCTGAACACCACCAACGCCGCACTCACGACCAACGCTCAAACGCTGCTCGGCCAGTTGAATGTGGAGCACTACGGCATTGAGGGTGCACCCTCCGAGAAGGCTCTGATTACGATGCGCAAGGAGGAGGAAAGGAGGGCAGCGGCTGTGCTAGCGAACGGCCGCGGCAACAACAACAACAACAACGGTTCACATCCAGCTGGCAATGAAACGGAGGGGCTCTGCCCGCGCCGCGACACGGGGAATTTTAACGGAGATGCCTCCGCGGCATCGTCCCGCCGGCAGTCCAACCAGCAAAACACTGGGTTGGCCGCAATGCAGCGGACGGCGTCGCAGCGTAGCCGCGATGCCTCTCAAAAGGCCGACTTGGACCAGCGCCGCCAATCGGGGCAATCGTCGCAGGCGTCCAGGCACTCAGCGACCTCGAAGGATCGTCAGGCCGGCCGTACAAATTCACGGGGGTCCAGCGCCCCCTAAAGAGTGCGCAGTCGCCGTGAAGGAAGGAAAAAAAAAAAAAAAAAATGAACAACAACAGCAATAAGGGTAAAACAAAAAACAAAAAAAAAAAAAAAAAAGAAAGTTTTTGGGATAAAAAAAGAAAGGGGGGAAAAGAACGGGGGAGTGTGAGAAGGAAATAAAAAACAAATTGGCAGGCGGTGGGAGAGGTGGGGGAAGATATTACAGCCCCAGTGAAAAAAGGAAAAAGGAAAAGTGGACAAACAAAAAATACATGCGCATTCTCAAGGGAGAGAAGAAATGAAAGCGGAAAACTAAAAAAAACAAACAAACGAAAAAGACAAAAAAAAGGGACGGCAGGCAGGAGCGGTGATATGAGACACGTCTTCTTTGAATCTCCGCCAACTCCAAAAAAAAAAAAAAAAAAAAACAGAAATGGCGTGCAGCCCGACGAGTTTATTGTTATTGTTATTTTTATTTTTAAAGTGTCCCACTATGTTACTTCAAAGCTTTCTCTCTCTTTTTTTTTTTTTTTTTTTGTGTTTGCAGTTGCTAAGCCTTTAATGTTATTATTATTATTATTACTCTTGGTGCTTTTGTACAGCAGCCCAACCCTGCAATGTTTTATTTGATGGTCTGCGACCCTTCTTCTCCTCCCTAAACCCGCCGATGCGTCCTACTTTGCATACAGTGACTTCTGCAGGTGTGAGAACACGAACGATGGGCGTCTTGCTCCGGCCTTTCGCGGTGCGTCATTTTTGTTTGTTTGTTTTTTTCGTTTGTGGCGTGTAGTGGAGGAGGGGATTTTTTGCACATTTACGAAAAAAAAAAAAGGACTAAAAACGAGATGCCTTAGGCGGGGCCCTGCAAGAGGGAGAAGTGGACACGACCCATCTGGCAGGAAAAGAGCAAAGGAAAAGGGGGAGGGGGTGAATAGACGAAGGAATGACAATTTAAAGTTCTCTGTAAATATATGACTCCCTGATTTATGTATTTCCCTCTTCTGCCAGCTTTATTATTTGTGTTTACGACTGTTGGGTTTGCGTTATGCTTTCTCTCTCTCTCTCTCTCCTGTGGGTTTTGTTCCGCCAAGAAAAATACAATAACGATTCAAATAAAAAGAAGTGTGCTTGCATATCCTCCTTTTTTTTTCTTTTTTTTTTTTTTTTCTCTGTCAAGTGTTGGTGCAATACGCATGGTGTTAAAAAGAAAGGGACTCGCTTCACTTTTGCCTTTATGATCATCACCGAGGCTCTTTTTGCGTGCCTCCGCGAGTGGCATGACGCCACGTTGGCCAGGGCTTTTTTTGCCGACGATGAGGGCGTTTTTGTTCTTTTTTCAGCGATGAACGTTCTGCCAGGAAATGTGGAGACAAATGAAGCCGGTGAGTCGGCCACTGCACTCGAGCTACACACGCGCTGCTGTCAGGGCTCCAGACCCTTTTTGGAGTCGGAGCGTCTGCAGGTTGCGCGCCTACTGCGATTCCGACCTCTTTTTCAGGAGAAGAAAAAAAGTGTTTCTGTGAGTGACGGCAATGAAGTGGATGAATGCTCAACAGCCTCTTCGACATCTCCGGATGGGCGGAACATCATTGCTCGCCTTCTACTCGAGCTTCACGCGTCGTCCTGCTGGTGGCGCCAAGGGGAGTTCGTGCAACATATGCTGAGAACACCGCGGTTCTCATTGGCCGACACCGCCATTATCCGCCACCGCTGCGCTGCTGTTGTGGTGACGGATGAGACCTCCTCCGCCTCGCAGTTGAAGAGTCTCGATGCCATGCCCGATGGTGACTCTCACGCCAAGAAACTGTTACTCCCGAGAGGGTCGCCCCCCTCATTTCTTCAGGGCGTACTGAGTTCCTACCTAGTGAAGTGGCTGCGTGCAAAGAGAACGCAATCATTAAGTCATTTGACAAGTAACACACCGATGAGTCTTCTGCGTGTTATTTTTTTCCTAAAGAGGCCGCGTTCCTCTGAAGAGAGTGACGAGCACAGTAATGACGAAAGTGACGAGCTTATCCCATGTGTCAGCCTTTTGATGGCCCTTTTTGGCTACACTCTGACACAGACACCGCCCCGCAACACGTGTGATGCATCTGAGGCTCATAAAGCATGGCAACAACTCTGTATAGACATGCAATGCCATTTCTGTGGTGGAAGACCCCGGTTAACTCTTGAGAAGACGGTGGCAGAAGAGCCTTTAGACCAACCCCAACTCCAGCAGAAAAATGAAGAAGATGTCATGGAGGGAGAACACAACAAAAGGATGGAGAATGGTGAAACTTTGTTGACAGCAGAACCAACTTCTCGGCAGGAACCCGGGGAACCAGTTGGCTTGGAGAACCGCGCGCAACTAGAATTAGAAACTTCACAAACGTCGATTAACCAGGATGAGAATAAAAATGTGCTTGCGCATGTTGCTGCCGTATGCAATGCAGATAAAAAGGAGGCGTCTCCGCACTCAAGCTTCTGCTACACGATTGAAGTGAGTGAGCAGGATGAAATCTCCGGCCACCACAACACCTGCCCTTGGAAGGCGTTATTCCTTTCTGCTGTTCTTGCCGACACCACGTCGTCATTTCCGTCCAAAGAGGTACTTTTTAGTCTTTGCAACGCCGACGAGGAGGGAGGGTCTTTGCAGATGTGTTTCAAACTTCCGGAAGTGGCAAAATTAATAAAATGTTGGAGACGCAGTTTGTACGCGGAGTCTGTTTGGAAGGAGATGTACATCAGACATCCATTACCTGCAGCTTTGTCGTCCGTAATTCCGTCACCTGCCGATTCAGGGACGGAGGCGTTTCTGGAGCGGTTGGCGTCTCGAAGTGCGGAGGGGGAGACTTTTCAGTTGAAGCCTCTCACGCCCCTCTTTGATGACCGCAGCCCCTGGGACAGTTACTTCCGTGTAGCCTCCTTCCTGAAGGCCTCTGCCATTGTTGATTACGGCGGGGTTGAGGTAAGAGGAAAGGATACGACTGAGATTAGGAAGCCGCCTAAAGTGGAGGAAGAGAGGCACTGGAAGGCGGTGTACGACATGGGGCGTCGCTGCATGTTGGCGGCGGTGGAAGAGGGAGACAGTGAGTCGGCTGTGGAGTTGTCGGAAAAATTCAAAGAGCAGTATCGCCACTGTGCGCAGCAAGATGCAACAGGAGGCCACACATTTTTACCTCTTGAGGGCGTGATGCGTAAACTGCTTCACCTGCTGAATAGCACACTGTCTGTGGACTTGCTCCATGGCAGAAAAGTTTCTCTAGGCGGATTATTTGAGGGGCCTAAAATTGCCGCACAGGAACAGAAAAATGTTCATTCATTTTTAGATGCACTGGACGACGTGGTGGAGAATGCCACACACGAGCCCCCAGCGACAGAACCAACAGATCCAGCAAAGCGTCCGCTTTTAATTCAGGGCAATAACAATGATACCACCTTGAAGAAAGGAGGAGGAGGAGGAAAAGGAGGAACCAGCGGTGCTCGGCAGAAGCAACCAAAACAACCTCAGAAGCAGAAGCAACACCAGTACCATCACCACCAGCATCAACAACATCAACAGCAACATCAGCGTCAGCAGCATCAGCAACAACTTCGCCAACAAGGCATGCCAATGCTTATGGCACAGCATGTACTTTTGCCATCTTCTTCCCCAACCGAGGGAGTTTTCCCCTTTCCTGCCAGAGGGTCTGGAAGTGGTGTCCTACCGACGCCAGTACCTGTCTTTCAACAACAGCAACAACCGCCACCGCATTTACCGTTTCAGCCGGCACTGCATGGCATCCCATTTACAAATTGTAACCAGAAAACAGTACTCGGCGGCGATTCTATTGGGGTCCTGGATGATGCGTACATGCAACGGCCTTCTGTCATGGGGCAATGCCAAACGACAGTCGCGAAACCCCCACAAGCGCGGATGGGTGGGCGAGGGGGGAATCATCGTGGTGCCAGGGGCGGTGGGCGAGGGGGTGGAAACCCGTTTAAGGGGTGACATTACGGCCTTCCTTTTTTGTTCTTCTTAACGATATATGAAATGAAAAACAGAAACAAACTACGTGCACCGAAAAAAAGGAAAAGACAAGGGCGAAAAGGGATAATGAACAGATGGCCAGTGAGTGTTCTTTCTCTCTCTCTTTTTTTTTTTTTTTTTGTGTGTGTGTGGCAATCTTATAGGAAACACTTCGAAGATACCGCCTTGTGTGTGGGGCTGCGGGTCTCTCCACACATATGGAAGAGTGTATGAGGATGCGCTTATTCATTGTTGTAACTCTCTTTTTCTCTCGGCTACTTTTTACCTAACACATACATTTTTTTCCAGAAGTTGTTTCACACCTGTTGGGGAGGGGGACGGAAAGTTAACACTGGAGAGAGGGGGAGATCAAGAGGCTAGACCGAAAAAAAAAAAAAAAAACACGCACAAAGACGCAAACGGAAAAAGAATAAGCGAGTGGCGCAGGGAAAATAATTTTAAGAAGGCCGCAAAAAAAAAATTTTTTTTTTTTTTTTTTTGTCCACACGCACCTATTTTCCATCTAGATGCTTGAGCCCAGGGAGGATTACACTTCCATGCTTGCGCTGACCCCACAGCATGTGGCGGAGGAGATGAAGGTGATTTCTTTGTTGCGGCAGGAGCTTCGTAACACCCACGTGAATTACGACGAAAATCCTGTGGCGGAGCCGCCTTTCGAGCCGGCCCACCGCACGGTGGATGCAAAGTCTTTACGTACCCTGAAGTGTACCAGTTATCCCTTTATTGTCTGCGAGGAGGCACCCACATCGTATCAGGCTCCTATCCCTTACCAGTTGGAAAGTGTTATTGAGCGATTACGCGAGGAATTCCGGAGTTTGGAGGAAAATTTGAAAAATGCGGAGGCGCTACGACGTGAATTCACCGGGCGACAGCGTTCCACATCACCCTCTCATGGCAGCCACAGCCGGGATGGTTCCAGGAGGCACCCAAAAGAGCAGGGGAATCAAACACGGAAGGAAGATGCACTGCAACTCTTTCTTGAGGTCGTGGGGAGAGATGCCCGCTTTGCTAATCTATCGAAGGAAGTTTCCATGGTGCGTTGGTACACACGATGGGTCTCCTCCCATTCTTTCATTTGCCTGGAGGAGGCATTAGAACAAGTCGAGTATGTACTATCTGAAGGTGGGCTAACCACAGAGGCGGACTTGGTGGAAGCTATGCAACAATTCTCTTTTGTTGAAGCCGTAAGCACACTTGAAAATGATCGTCGTGATGTGGTAGAAGCCGAGAGACATCGAATGCATTCTCATAGTCGAACATTTCGAGAACATGTTTCTCCCCTTGCTATTACCGCTGCGACCAGTTCTTTTCTTACGCCGGAGGAAAAGTATTGGTATCAGGAATGTTACAATCAAACAGAGCATGTTATGACGATGCTACATCATGTCTTACACGTGCAATTTACGTCCAAAGGCCGGGATCCATCGCTTGTATCCTTGGGAAAGTTCTGTCCAATAAATCTTGAAGTAGGTTCCAACCTCATTTCGATGAAGGAGACGACATCAGTTGGGGAGGAATCTCAAATTTTATCCGATGCCGCCATGAGGGCGTTGCGTCAGGAACGTGATGTCATTACAAATCTTCTTCAAAAAATACAAGATCGACAGGAAAACGGTGTCATGTTAGGCCCGACACGTGATCAGTACCGAAATAGTCTTTTGGCAGCAATGGTGGTATATAAATGCTTGGTTGATGATATGGTCATGCTTAGATCGCAGAAACGTCTAGCGGCGGAGTTTCTTGCTGAATATGATGATTGGATTTTGCATCTTTGTGGCACAAACGATCAAGCGGTGATAAGGCGTCTGGGAATTACTCCAAGTGGGGGATCACCGCCCATGCCATTAATGGGCCGTAATACACTGCGGGGTAATTCGAAATCTCATTCACGTGAACGTGAAATTTCTGCTCCGTTATTTTGTTATTCCCCAATTGGGCAACTCCCTCGTCATGTTGAGGAGGTGTGCGAGTCCCTTATGTCTCTTTTGAAGCTGTCTAGACGATCTTCTGGTACGGATAACTCCACTGGAGTTCGTGAGACTGTCTACCGGCGTTGGATGTGTCTGTCGCTTCGCTACACATGTATGCAGATTGTGCGTGGGAGATGGCCCGGTGATCTCCTTTTGGATTGCATGGATGACATCGCAAACAATCTGATCCGACTTGTGTCGGAATACAACTCCAATCCCGGCGCCGTGCAGTCTCACCTGACGGAACTAAATGCTGTTCTCAGATGCTTTCTCGGCCTTGTAGCGGACGGGGCGGCGAGGCGACAGTCGCAGCGGGAGTTTCCTGGAATAAACAACGGCACCGCCTCATCCCTGGCTTTGGCTTCGGCTACTGCTCCTACTGGTGCCACGTCTGTTGCGAGGCGCAGTTTTGATGTCTCTGTTGCCTTCTCCCTCGACAGGGATATCTCCTCGATGGAGAGGGCTGCAAATATAAGTGACGAAGACGAAGACGTATGGGGTGCTATTTTTGATGCGCTTTGGTTTCAAGCTGACCCGACAGGTCGTGCACATGGTGGATTTCTTTCCTGCAAGGATTTTGGTATGGATGTCGAAAAGCCTTTTGTTTTTCTTCGTCTGGGCTCTATCACACTCCCGGACCGGCTGCCTAAAACCGCAGAAGGACGACGAAGGTTTCCCAAAGTATACATGAGCCTTCATTATGTCATTCATACTGCAGACATGTCACCGGCTCGCTCTTTGGCTGAAGTGGCGGAAGGTGATGCGACATTGATGGCATCTACTTCTGTCGTGACGCGTTACGGCTACATGCGACGCATGTTGTACATCTTTTCCATTTTGGAGCAGCGACAGCTACTACAGGATTACGCTTGTCGTGTTGAAGAGGTTGAATTGGTGCCAATTGAAAACGCGGTGTTTTTTTCGCGTAAAATAGATAAAAAAATAATAACTACAAGATTGTTTTATTCTGCTCTTCCTCCACCTAGAAATGGCGATGACGCATCAACAGGAGAAAAGTATGCGACAGTTGTAGGGCTTATACCACCCGCCGCTGTGCACCTCATGCGGTACAACGCCATTCCCACAGGCACTGAATACCCTGTTTCCCGTAGCAAGAGATCCACACTCACCACACTTAATCTACTGCTTGGGAACATGCTGAAGAAGATTGCCTTGTGCCGGTCGCCCTTCCTGGATAAGATGTACAACATGGGGGACACATTATGCGAGCTGGGAGTAGGCGCAGCCGAAGAGAAGGAGAACGATGATGGGAGCCAGGGAAAAACGCTTCTTTTGCCCATATTGCGAGCCTTCGATGAATATATCTCCAGCCCGGTGTTTGAGAAGTCGGTGAAAGAGGCAGACGAAGAGATGCGGCAACAGAGTGCCCAACACGTTAACTTCTACCGCCGCCCGTATTAGTGTTAGTTTTATTTGTTTCTCTTTCCTTTTTTTTTTCTTTCTTATATTTGTGATGATCACTGTGTCTATACCCATTCAAAAGGAAAATAAAGAAAAAAAAAAAAAAGAAAAAAGGAAAAATAGGTCAGTTATATTTGTGTAGTTTCTTGTCATTTATTTTTAATTCTGTATCATCGGGAGTGGAGCACTCAAAAAAGTTATAGTGCGATAATGTGCAATGCAATTGTATAATATATACGCCAATTGGAAAAAGAGGGAGTGAAAAGGGGATGCCAAATAGTTATGCTCATTTATACATGTGTGTGCGTGTCTGTATGAATATGTGACTGTCTGTGTGTGTGTCTCTGTGTGTACATGTTGTCTTCAATTTATACATCTTTATTCCTTAGTTGTACGGGAGGACATCAATATCTCTATTATTTTTTTTTTTTGTGGCTTTCCGGGATTCTTCTTTTGATTCAACCTGTGCTTTAGAACTCAAGGGGGATTATCTCAAAAAAGGGCAACAAATAATAAAAAAAAAAAAAAAAAAAAGCTCTCATTGTTATTGTTATTTTTATGTTATCAGCTCCAGTAATATTACTGTCCTACATCACCCAGGATGGTGTCAAACGAAGTGTCTGCAGCCGAGTGCGTGATTGAAGTCCTTCGCGGAGTTTCGTGGGCGGTGGTAGGCGGGTACGGGGTCGCCTTGTGCTACCGATTTGGGGTATTTAGAAAGGTTTTTCCCAAATCGACGGTAAATGCCATTGAAAGTGTGGTTGAGAAGGTAAAGAAGAGGACAGAGCCTCTCGGAGATGCGCGCCGTTACACCATTGCGCGTCTCCATCTTATACATGTGTATTTTTTATCGTCATTGGGAATAATGGTAGCAGCCGCTGGTGGGGCCACTTTTTTTGCGTTTCCAAAAGTTCCTATTATTATTCCGATAGCTTTGACTTTGGTGCCATCTACGCTGCTTCTTCTTCTACCAAAGGGGATGATGCTGTATGCGGGGCGTGTTGCCTGCCTGCTTACATCCTGCTTTGCCTTTGGTTATTCATTTGGGCCGGTTGGGTGGATCGCATGGGACTCACTTGGTGTATTTCTCACGGTGATGGTGAGTACAATGGCTGGTCTTTGTGTGCCTTTGTTTCTGACGCGTGGGATGATTAGTTATGTTTTGAGTTCCCAATTACTTTCATGCACGCTCTCTTTGGCCGCCGTGACAACACTGCCTTTGGTGTTGAGGAGTGAGGGTGTTCGTCCTGTCGTGTCTTTCCCATTTGCATCGAAAAACGTTACCACTCCCAGCAGTAATATAGAGTTACTTCTTCGCGCCGATGTGAATGTCCTACTCACACTTCAACTCCTCTCCAATTGGGGGATTAATCTTCTGCATACACTGCCGACCATTGTTCGCTTTGTGCAATGGAAAGGGGATGAAGGGGAACTCTTGGATTGTGTTGACCCCTTGAAGGAAAGTATTTGTATCTGCGCCGGGGCAGCTTATGTCATGTGGAGGAGTTTTCGCTGGGCGTGCCGTCGACTTCTTCTTGCTGTCGCCAAAGATGACACCAAAGGGACCTCAAAGGAAGTTCAGGATCAGTGGGGGCACTTTGCAAAACTCTCGTTTCGCACGCAACATGTAAGTGGCGTGAGTGCATCTGTGCTTCTTGTCCTGTGGTACGTTCGGGCTGTCTCTGAATTACAGCGCGGGGAAACGGTGGCAACACTCGAGGCACTTCGACGTGTTTGTGCGCACATGTCTCCGGTTGGGTTGCTTGTAAGGCGTATGTAAAATTTAAACTGCAATTGCTGTGCAATGCGACGAGGGAAATCAATTACACACTGCATGAATTATTTCTTGAGCTGACAAATGCTTTCAATTTTCAAATTTTTTGTTGTTGTTGTCTTTGCGCGTGTGTGTCTTTGTGTGTCTGTTTATGGGGAATATAGGGAGCCTGATTGGGCTCCTGTGATTTTATTTTCAGATGTATTTGTGCCGTTGTTCTTCCCATGAATGCCCAGGAAATAATCATGAAATATGCACGGATATGAGCTATGTGAAGTGTCCCCAAAAGAAAAGCTGCATCGTTTTCTCTTGTTTTATTTTTCTTTTATTTTTTCTCCATATTCATGTAACTTGTGGATGGAATGGAGCAGTGCTTGGCACCTGGAATTTACTGCATATCACGCGGCCGTCCGTTAAATGGTGGTGACTTCAGAACGTCAGGCGTCCGCCGTTCTCGGCGTCCCACCGTACGTCGCTGCGAGAGCCTTCAAGGACGTCACTCGCATCAAGGAATTCGGTGCAATTAATTTTGTCTCTTGCTGCATACTTGAGACGGCACATGATCCTTCGACCGTCGGCGTTGTGCGTCGCGTTACTCTCGATTTACCGGGCATTCCGCAGTCAATTCTTCGAGAGAGGCTGGCATCCGTGGAGGAGGACCCCTACCGCACCTGCATCCGTATGGACTATGTGCCATGCGACGCCAAGGAGGCTCATCGCTCAGCATTTGGCGTGGAGGGAACGAAACGCTTGTTGAATGCGTCGACATTTGCAACCTTCACGGCCGTCTCTAAAAATCCCAACCGATGTTTCTTAGAGATTTCTACAAAATTCACCGTGGACATTGATGTTTCCCCGGACGGGGTGCAACGGGCAGCGGACAACCCAACATACCACGATATTGACCAGTTTTGGAATTTGTACGTCACCCGCGCGGCTACGGCTTTAGAGGATTATCTTCTCTCGACGGCGTTTGCCACGACGGAGTGCCAAATTGGAGGTGGGTTTGAAAAGGAGTTCGTCAATGCGGAAAATGAATACTGCCAATGGGCGGCGAAAAATTGCGATAAAATTTCTCGCGAGGAGGCAATGCAGGTACTTGAGAAGGCCCTCAATGCATGGCAACGCGAGCGATGTGAACTTAAGCACCAACAGTTGGTAAACGCGCAGCTGATGGCGGACGCAGCCGGATCGGCGGCAGTGGCCGCTTCTGCACATCGCCTTTCTCTCGCGGCGATGAGCGAAATGTCATTTTCTGATCACTCGGCGCCCAAGCCGTCACGCCGTACGACAGCCACGTCAATTGCAAGGAATACTTCAGCGGAAGTGATTACGGCGCCAAAAAATTGGGTGCCGGAGGTTCCTGTCGTTGACAACGCCGTGGATCTCAACATGTTGAAGCCAGTGCACGTGCCGTTTTTCTCTCCCGGTGGTGGACGTGTTTTGAGCGTTGACCCAGCGGAAAGCGAGGCATTGCAGAAGGTGCAGACTGAGTCACGGGACGCCGCTTCGCCTCACCGACCTGCGGCAAAAGCGTTTCAAAAGGAGCTTCTTCTCAGCTTCTTGACAGAAATCGGCACAATCAATGAACGGGTGGCACAGACAATTTTTAATTCATTGGACACAAATCACGAGGGCTTTGTCACAGAGCATGGGGTGAGCATGGTGCTGAGTCAGATGGACCCCTTGGGTCTCTACGAGGACAGAAATGGGAAGATGCTCCAAATGGAGGAGTGCCGACAGGCTGTGGGCACAGGCATTTTTCGAAATATTTCGATTGATCAAAGTTCCTGTGACACACACCCCGCTGCTGCCGCCTCTGCTGCCGGCTCTGCTGCTGCTGCCATGGATGCGGCACCACACAATATCGCCTCAAAGGGAGAGACAAAAGACCATGAAGCGGAAGGAAAGGACGGTTTTGCTGAGGAACTCAGCCCACTTCAGGCTCTGATCCGCCGTCAAAATGAGCAGAAAAAAGTCTTGCAAGACGAGTTAATTAAGAAGCGTACAGCTGAATTGATGAATAACTATGCATACAGAACTCGAGGGAGACTTCACTACGACGAATTTTGTTTGATGATGTTGCATCTTTTGAAGGACTATTGAGATTTTGTATTTCATTGGCATTAAATTTGTACCTCTTTTGTTGTTGGTTCCCCTTTTTTAAATTTCTCCATTTTTTCTTTTTCTTTTGTATTTGCTCTTTATTTTCTACCGCCGTCAAAAGAATGGAGGTGGGAAAAAAAGGGGATTGCAATGATATGTAAACAAAACGTTCGCCCAAATCATGACTCTGAAATAAACACGGGAAGCGAAAAAAATCGAAACAAACAAACAAACAAAAAAAAAAAAAAAAACAGAAAGGAGAGAAAAAGACGGGAAGAATGAAAGGAAATGATCTTTTTTTTTCTCCATTTCCCTTTCTTTCTTACTTGTCTCCCCTATTCCATGAGCCACACGTTTTAATCTCCCTATGTCTTATTTGGGCCTTTGAGTGCCTGTTGTCTTTTCTCTATGTGTGCCTGATCCCTTATTGAGTACGATGACCACAAAGAAGAGGTTTGACGGAGGAGACACAACGCAGTGGCTTGAGCCTTGCACAGTTTTTGAAGAGACATTTTATGGGATGAATTTTTTTTTGTGTGTGTGGGCATTTTTCTTCTTGATTCTTCTTTTTTTTTTTGTGTGTGTGTGATGAAGCGACAAGGCGGACTTGGAGCGTGGAGGGGGGAAGGAAATTTGCGAAAAAAAAAAAAAGGAACGCATGACGGCTGACGCAAGGACGGACGATGGTGGTCTTCGTCGTGCCTACACACGCAGCATGCCTGCCGTTCTGCGTCCTCTTTGGCTACTAGAGGAGTCTATGAGAGATGTGCAGGTGCAGTGGGAAGAAATCATCGAAGGAGTAATGGTGGAAGATGTTTCATTTTCTTCCGTGCGCGCTGCGGTGCTTCACGTAGAGCGGCTTGCGAGTCAGTTGAAGGCGATTAAACAGGAGTTGATGCCACGCCTGAGTCACTTTTCCCAAAAAGAAGAGGATTCGGAGCAGCCTTTTCTCCGATATTGTTCCTGCGCTGCGAAGCCAACTGTTAACGGGGACAATTCCATTTGTGACCTCGCCCAAGGAGAGCAGACACAAGCAGCCCGTTTGGCCGCGCGTGTTTGGGTGTGGGGCGTGTGCGTGGGAACAATTATGAACGACCTGGAATTGCTTAGTACCAGTTTGTCTTTTGCAGCTTCGACGTGTCTCCTTGAAAAATTCGCGGAGGAAGTGCGCCTTACGGAGGCCAGCACCTTCTTTTTGGGTAAAGACGAGGGTGTTGCGTCCCCCCTTTCGGATAGCGATCTGTTGCTGGCTTGCCAATTGCTGTACCATCTGTTTACAGGGGATGATGCAGCTGCAGAGATGACTTGTCATCGCGTTTTGTCTCTCATAGACGACTGCGAGGAGAGGGACGATGGTAAAGAGTGCAGGGGGTGCATCTTGAGCCGTCTGGTGCGAATAGCGGAGTGCGTGGCGGCTGAGGACTATGGGGCGCTACAGGTCTTGATGAAAGTTGACTTTTTCACAGGTGTTGATACTTTATGCTCGCTACCACCGCTTATTATCTTTTTCACACAGATGATGCTGGACACGGTGGTCCACCGTCAGTTGGTACAGGGATGCTTTCAAAATGTGTGGCGTCCTGTAATAAACGTAGATAGGCCTGCGAGGGATGAATCACCAAGTGTCCCATCAGAGGCAATGATGAATTCTTTCTGTAGTTCATCGCGGCTTTCTTTCACGACAAAAAGGCGCTTGATGACATGTTGTGCGGTTTTTCGTGAGAGTTTGCCGCCTCGGGTCCCATGGCCCATCCCGGAGGATTTAATGGATCGCTGTTTCCGCATGGGATTGTAAGAACTCACGGGAATCAAGATGTGTCTTATTTGTGATTTCTGCACTGATAATGCGCTCACGCAACAGAATGTCTAAAGTCTTTTTTTTTTTTTTTTCATCGGACGGTTTACAGTTTTTTTGAACCTTTCATCTCCACGTTTGTCAAGTGCTTTACTTTTTGTTTTGTGTTTTTCGTGTTTTTTGAGTTATCTGCCTTTAACAAGCGGCAGACTGTGTGTGTTTGTGTGTGACGGAAAAGGAAGAGTATGATGTCAGTTGAGCATTGCAGTTGTCTCAACCCTTCCCTCAAGGCGAGACTGCAGAATGCCGGCCTGCTTTGGATCGATGACATCTGCCGCCTTTTGAAGAAACACTCGGACAGGGAGGTGGAGGGTGTGACGTCCCAACAGAAGGAGGGCACCGACGCCTCCTTATCTTCCACTGACGCTGCCTCCCGCCGTCTTCTCGAGCGGTGCCCACAGCTGACGCAGGCGGAGGCCGTGGAGGTGATGGGAGCTGTTCTTTCTCTTTACAGAGGGAATGATCCTGCAGATAGCGACTATCACATCCCCCCAGAGACTCGAACCCTGGAAGAAATGTTGAAGGTGGAGGCCGATAAAGAAAGCGAAAGGGTCACGACGTTTTGCAGGGGTATTGACACGCTTCTTGGTGGCGGGTTGCCGGTGGGCGCTGTTTCGGAGGTTTGTGGAGCACCGGGAGTAGGTAAGACACAAATGCTTATGCAACTCGCCGTAAATTGCTTACTGCCGAGAGAATTGGGTGGTCTGCATGGGTCATGTCTGTTTATTGATACGGAGGGAAGTTTTGTGCCGGAACGTTTTCGCGAAATAGCGCACGCTGCCGTCATGCAAGTGAAAGAGATCATTTTGCGACAGGGGGCTGAGGGGGTTATTGGTGACACCGTGGTGGCTACGGATGAAGACGAGCTGACAGTTTCATTGCCCATTGATAGCGGCAGTGGCAGCGGCTCTATTTCGGCTTTAGTAAGATCACGCAAGAGGGGTCGAGCTGAAGGAGCGGGCATCTCATTGGCTGCACTTGCGGGGTTTTTCACAGTGGACTACGTCCTTCAGCAAACGCAGTATCTTCGCGTGGTGGACGTGGTTTCCCTCATGGCGTTGCTGAATGTGCTTCCCACATATCTTGCATCTCATTCAGATGTACGAATGGTGGTCATTGACTCCATTGCGTTTCCTTTTCGCTCCTTTTCCCAACTTGGCGTTTACCAGATGGGAAACGAAGCCCCAGAGGGCGGTGCTTCTGCAACTGCTGTGACATCCAAGCATCTCCTGTGGCAGCGTTCACGCCTTCTTTTTAGATGCGGACAGTTATTGCAGCAACACGCTCGGGAGCAAAATATATGCGTTGTTGTAAGCAATCAGGTGACGAGCCGCACGTTGAGTAGCGAACGTGGTGAATGCTCTCGGGTTCTCATACCCGCACTTGGGGATTCTTGGGCGTATGGTCTCTCCACGCGTCTTTTGTTGAAACACCGACACAATGGAATAATGGAAAAGGAAACGAATACTGAGAGAGAGAAGTGTCACGAAAACGTTGTCTTTATAGCCCCTGCCGTCGATGGGGGTTTCGATGTTGGCAGCGCGGTAAATGCCGTGCAACATCGTGTGGTATGCCTTGTGAAGAGCCCTAATCAAACGCGTGGACATTGTTGTTTCTCCATCAGTCAGAAGGGTGTGCGTGACATTTACCGTGTGTGGCTGTGATGCTTCTTGGCATGATTTTGATGACCGTTGTGCTTCATTTTTTCTCGTTCCCCAATTGGCAGAAGATGCGTATCGCGTCATGCATTTTCCCTTGTGTGCATATATATTTAGTTTTTTCTCTCTCCTTCTCTCTGTAGATGTACGTTTCTGTTCATATTTTTTATTTATTTATTTTTGCGTTTGGTGTTTTCCTTCCACCATTGTGGCGAATTCCTTACTTGATGTGACAAATAACATCACCGGCAGAAGCCCAATTACCACCGGAGCGAGGAGCCTCCGGAGTTTTTGGATGGGGCAACACAATTCAGCGGAAAACGCAGCGACTGGCGTGCGGGCGGCAACAAGTGTTAATGACGATGGCGTTATTCTCGTGAAAGCGGAGAACACGAAGGAGCGTCCGGTGCCTCCGTATGAGCTGCGAGCACAGGAGCTCTACGAATCGTCTGTCCGGCGCATTCAGATCGTACCTCCGCTCCTGCGAACATCGGCAGGCTTGTCGCCCTTATCTTCCGCCGCGGAACCAACAGGGTTAAATAAACTTTATCAAAGAATGAGCTCGATTTTCTTCTCACAGGCGGTTTTGATGGAGCAGGAGGCACTCCAACAGCAAAGGCAACAGAAGGCGATCGACACAAGTCAAGAAGACCAATCAGCGGCAAAGGATGAAAGCAACTGCCCAATTGCTCAAGGACTGCGGGAATTTGCTTTTTGCCGGCGTGCCTTTGAAACAAATGCCGCGCAACAAGCGAATGAGGATTCGCGTGCGATCGACGCTGCTCTTGTTGGAGTGAACTTGACGCTCGAGGGTGTGAAGGGTGCGGCTGTTGAACAGAGCCTCATTGCTGAACTGTATAATTTTGTTGAGCAAGAGTCGCACGCCTTACTGGAGAAAGTGACGTTGGCTGTAAATTTGCTCCAGAATGACGTTGTGGTCCTGTTGGGGGACACGTGGTCGCTTCTGACTGACGCGGAGCGGACTGGTGTTTAGACCTACCTCCACGCGAAGTGGAAGCATACAACATTGGCTTGATGGACTTATGTTTTGTTGTTTTTATTCGTCTCATGTGTGTTGCGTCCATGTGCAGTTTATTTGATTGTTTTCTTTTTCTTTATTGTTTCATGTGCTGCTTTAATCCCTTACCTGCCTCTTTCTGCACACATACACACAAGTGCGTCTAGATACATTTTTTTTTTTTTCCCTTCACTCTTTAATATTTTTTGTGCGCCGGTTGTTTTATTTTTCGTCGTGGCTGTTCTTCTGTTTGGCCGTCATATGTCGTTGGCGGATGTCTTCACCTTTGCACCCGCCACGGGCCATTTCTTCTCCACGAGTGAACGTGTCGCGCTGGCAACGTCGATTCCGCTTCTCATGGAAAAAAGCAAGCGTCGAACGGTGCTGGTGTGGGGAAAGGTGTACGGTTTTAAGAATGACTACACAATCGTTCAGGCCTTTGATGATGATCTTGTGGCGCAGCCGGTTATTTATTATTCGATTGACGAAGGCCTTTCCTTTGTCTTTCTTGGTACGACGGAGTCGCTGATGCAGCGCACCATGGACGAGGTTTTGAATGAGAAGAAAAAGAGGATGCTGATGTACAGAATGCGTGGGCCATTTATGGGAGACCCCTCCTACGAGTATCGAGTCGTGGACGAGTTGGCAGGCAGCACATCGAGCTACAAGGAATCGCTGCGTCTTGTGCTGTTTATTGACGCGCACGATTATCATTGCCGTGTCGCACCGCGTGGGGCGTACTACCGTGAGCTTCGCAACACCACACTGCCACCGGAGATAAAACGCAACAGTGCCTTTACCGGTTTACGGCGTGCCTACGATGAGGCACTTTCGCTACGAAATTACTATCACCTGCGGGCAGAGAATCCGTACATTGAATTGATTGCAAAGGAAGAGGGGACCCAGCTGCACGCCAAGTCCGGGCTGGAGCGACTGGAGGAGGACCAGCACATTGACTCTATCTTCTTTCCTATCAGCGACGATCTTCCAGGCGGAGTTTGGCGGTTACGGTACGACCCGGTGCAGAATGCTGTTCTTGGAAGAAGCGCCAAATTTGTAGGATCGGTCTTTTATCATGTGCCGGGGACGAATAAGTACGGCACTGTGTACATGGGCGACGGCAACATTAACCACGACATTGCCTTTGAGTTATAAAAAACAGACACACACGCACGGTGGTTGCGTACGCGGGGAAGAGACAACTAAAACAACGGCGACATCCTGAGAAAAGAAGGAAAGAAAGGGAAAGTGTGAACAATTTTATGTAATGCCTGTGGTCCCGGTGGTTTATGTCGCTTCTTTCACTTCATGACGTTAGACGATGGTGATGTAAATAAAGGCGCCCCTTCTTCCTTTTTATGTGGGGATGGGAAATATGGGGACATTTTTTCTCATATGAATGCAGTTTTTCTCATATTTGGTCGTTTTGCGCTTGCCCTTTTTTTTGTGTGTGTGTGTTTGCGTGTGTGCCATGGCTTTCACACTTTAATCCTTTTTCTTTTTTTTTCCCCTTCTTTTGTATTGTTGCGTGACATCTTCTCTTTGAGGTGACTTTTACACATTTGATACCAATATAATTCTCCGTGAACACTCACCTTTGCCGCGACAGCGCATTTAAGCGGGAGGAGGAGGAGGAAGTTTTTTTTTTTTCTGTGTGTGGGTAGAACGAGAGGGGGAGGTGCACGGAAGTATCATAACGAACGAAGAGAAAATACACGAAGGGGCGGGGTGGAGATTGCGGCGAGAGATACCCCGAGGATGAGACGGCGGACAGTAATTTCTTTCGGTTATGTTCGTGTTGCGGCTTCTGCCGTGGGTGTGATTGGGATGGGGGCAAATCACCGTCATCACTACCAGCAGCAGCAGCGGCCCATCACCACGCGGGGCCAATTTAATCCGGTACACGACTTCACATATGCCATGGAACGTGGTGTGCGTGCGAGAGACGAGAAGACATTTGAGAAACTCATCACCAATCCCGGCCCTTTGCGCATCGCCTACTCGCCCGACTACCTGGACTGGCTCTATCGCTGCTACAAGGCAAAGGGAAAGTATATGGATGCACGCGCCGCAGCGGAGAAAAAATTTAACGGTAACATTATTAGTGGTGGGGCGGTGACAACATCTTCTGGTGAGATGATCCATCCACTGCCGGGTGCCCCACCGCCAGGCATGTTTCTTCGGCCCCCAAACTCCTTTCGTCGGCTCTCTGGTGAGATGAAACGAAAACATGCGCAGGAAACCCTTGATGAAGTTTCAAAGGCACAAGGGATGCTTGATCTCTTTGAGCGTCAGCCACAGTTTCCAGCCATTCACATTGATCGATGCACTCGGTTTCACCTTGTTGAGTTGTTCAAAGAGATGGTACTTGAGCGGTCCCTAGAAGCCGTTGCTATTTGGGACAAGGCGCTACTCTATCGCGCCATCTTATCGGAGCGGAAAGCGTCTTATCCAGCCTCCTTTCGTTACATCTTTAAGGCTGTGGAGGATACCGTGTTTGCACACAGCTCGGTGAATTGCCCCTCGCTGGAGGCCTACTACTACTTTCTGTACCTGGTGAAGAAGTACTACATCGACAATGCTGTGGAGGCACACGTTGTGTTGCGCTGCCACCGGGAGCCGAATGCAACGGATTTACTTTTTTCAAACCCTCCACCTAAGGATGAGGTGGATGTGAGAAATGCAATTGAAGCCCTGCAGTCGGCGGAAGCAACATCTCATGCCGCTTCATCGGCCACGAGTGGCACCGCAAAACATGATGACCCTGCTGCTACCGATGAAAAACATACTCGAGGTGACAATGACCAAAAGGATTCCGCTAATGCCAATGCGAAGCACCCTTGCCAGTTTGCACCGCCCAGTTCTTATCCGCCGATTGAAGCGTTATGGCGCTGTGAGGAGAATGTACCGCTTCTTGAGATTCTTCTTTTTGGTGAGTTTAACTTAATTGTCTCGGAGAATCCGTTCGTGAAGTTTCCCACCGCCCACGCCTTTCTTACGCGACCGTACTCCACAGAATCTTCAAAGGGACCAATAGACGGTGCAAGCCTGGCAAATGTTATTGCGGAGAAACGCGGCCATCTGCTTCCTTCGTTTCCGATGAACGTGGCATCAGCGATCGATGGCCGGGCGCAGGAGTTACGCCGTTTGCAGCAAAAGCACCACCGTGATGACACGGTCAGTTTTCAGACCTTACTACGTAGCACGCACGTTGACGATAATCCCTCTACCTTTTCTAGCTACTCAGACTGGAGTTACTTCAACCCGAGAGCCGTGCGAGCAGAGGAGCGTGACAGACTCACAAGAAAAGGCATAGACGCCCTAAAGGAGTATGATTCCGCCACAGAAGACATTTATCGGCGTAGCTTTGAGGACGCACAGGCCAGCAATTTTCAGCGCGTGACGGAGGCTTGGAATACATTTCCGCCTTATTTACCCACACTGCCACATTTTGTGTCCATCATCAAAAAAGATTCTCACATTTCTTTCTTGCTTCATGTTGGCTTGCCGGAGAGGTGCTCAAGTGCCGAGGCCGCCGCGAAGCACAAGGAGTTTGAGAGGCGTATTTATCAACTTGCTCGGGCTTTATATCACACAGCGTTGGAATTCCACAAGGAGACGGTGCGGCGGGTTAACCGGCAGAAGGTTAACGTTGCGGCCTCCCTCTTGGATAATTTCTTTGAACAGGAATGGGTCGCCATGCTTCGGGAAAGCGAATCTTTAGAGAATTCACTGGAACAAGGCGCATGGCCAGACAAAAAGACGGACATGGCACGACGTCTGGGACGCTACATCCCATTTGCGCGCCGCTCACTTGATGAAAACGGCTTTCCCACAGATGCTCGCGCGGATGACTATGCACGGTGGATGGAGGCTCCTGCACGGATGAAGGGAGCTGCCTAGAGCGATGCGAACGGCAACGACGAATGGGAGAAAAAAAGGCTGCGTTCAAGAACCTTTTTAAAAAGTAAATGAAAAAAACTTCTTTATTTCTTTTGGTACGCGTGGAGTTCTGCATTTTGCGCTCTTCTCTCCCCCTTTGTGGGTTGATGTTCCATCCATTTTGTAATTTTATCTTGATGCAACCATGCGCTTTTTGTTTATGTTGTTTTTATTTTCTGTTTTATTAAAATTATAATTATTATTTATTTATTTATTTTTGTGCGAGAGATGTGTTTGTGTGTGTCTGTGTTTGTAATGGGTGACTTGAGTGAGTGCATCAGGCGTCTGCTAGGCACCGGTCAGGATCATGTTATGGAGATTCTTGAGCACGGCAGCGACAAGGACCGGTCTTCACTGGCCAGGCAACTAACGATTGATCTTTATGGTGTGGATTTTCACCACCTCAACCACGTTCTGCGTGCTTGTCTGGAGCGTGAAAAGGATCACAGCAGCAACACAGCGATTGAGCCACCGCCAAACAATTTTTTCTTTGACGTGATGGAAGATCAGAGGGCCAGGGGTAAACACGTGGAGGAGCTGGAGAAGCTTGGCTACGAGGCCATTCACGCTGGCCGTGTGGCGTTTCTCATTTTGGCAGGTGGAAGCGGGACTCGACTCGGCGCGGATGTTCCCAAAGGACTTTTAACATGCAGCGGGCTTTGTGAGAAAAAGTCACTTTTTCAATTTCACTGCGAGAAGATACGCCGACGGGAGGAGCTGGCGACCTTTCGTTGCGGGGGTGTTCCCTCGGCCAAGATACAGCTCTTGGTGTTGACGTCCATCCAAAACGACGAGCAGACGCGGCAGTTTTTTCAAGAGAACAACTGTTTTGGACTTGCGAAGGAGCAGGTGCAATTCTTCACTCAGTCGTCCTTTCCGTGCTACGATGAAGAAACGGGGAGGTTTCTCATGGAGTCCGCTTGCAGTGTTTGCGTTGCGCCAAGCGGGAACGGTGGGGTGTACTCGGCGTTAGCAGAAGTGCCCCGTGGAGAGAAGGAAACTGTGCTGCAGCGGTTGCAGCGTCTGGGTATAACGTACGTTCAGATTGGAAATGTGGATAACCTGCTTGCCAAAGTTGCGGACCCACTGTTTGCCGGCTACGCACTCAAGGAAGGGGCGCATGTTGTCGTCAAGTCAAGCCCAAAGAAGAGCCCCGATGAGTCCGTTGGTGTGTTTGCACGCCTGAATGATGAGTGGGGAGTTGTGGAGTACACTGAAATTGGCGAAAGGGCGAAAGAGGTGGATGCTAAAACTGGCAATCTCAAGTTTAATTGCGCGAATATTTCCTCCTACATCTGTAGTATTCGCTTTCTTCAGGCTGCAGCCAAGCGTATGGAAACATTTACGCGTTATCACATTGCACGGAAAAAAATTTTAACTGCAAACGGCCCGACGATGGGAATCAAACTGGAGGCGTTTATCTTTGATCTCTTTTGGCTTGCCAAGGAGTGCGTGGATCCCCCCACGGGGAGTGGGGATGGATTTCGCATTATGCAAGTGAATCGGAGTGAAGAGTTTGCTCCCATTAAAAATGCGGAGGGGGCATTAAGTGACACACAGAGCGAGGCCTCACGTCTCCTTTTGTCGCTACATACGCGCTGGTTGTCTGCGGCGCTTATTTCCATTGCCTGCGGAGGAGGCGTTACCGCCCAAGATGCGAAGGAGGCACTTGCGGCACTGCAAAGCAAGGGATTGGGTGTTGAAATATCACCGCTTGTGTCAATTGGAGGGGAAGGACTGCAGCCGTACCTCTCGCGCGCGATAAATGAAATTCTGCACGGTTCTTCCAATCGAGTTGTGATTCTGCATCCGGATGAGCTCCCCCAGGAGCCTGGAAACATGTAAACTGCAAAAGGAAAGGGTGAAAAGGGAGCAAAAGTGATAATTACTCTTTTCTTTTTAGTTTTTTTTTTTTTTTTTTTATGTTCTTTGCGCATCTTTATGTAGAGGTTGTGGTTATAATCTTTTGTTTCTGGCTTTTCATGTGCCTTTGGATACGTGTGGAAGGAAGCGTGAACAACTCGGGCGCCGTAACCGCTTGCTGATTATTTGCTGCGAGGTCTTCATTAATTTTTGTTTCCTTTTTTTTTTTCTTTTTTTTGTATCGCGTTAGGCTCGTGTGGCGACGATAAAGAGGGGACACCCTCGCACGACAATCCTTTTTTTTTTTTTTTTTTGTGGGGAAGAAAAGGAATTAAAGGGAACACACACACAAACAAACAAATAAAAGTGAAGGTAAAATGAAGCATCGAAAGGAGGCCGCGGGAGGGAAGACGCTTCTCAAGCATGCGCGGAAGAGCGCAAACATGAGCCGCCAGAAACTTTTGGAGCTGCGGCGCCGGGCGATGGCGGTGAGGCGGCAGAAGGCGGAGCTACAGAAGGTGGAGGCGAAGAAAACGGCCTTAAGGCGCATTCAGTCGGCCCACAACAAAAAGACGCACAAGACATTTGATCGCGACATTCTGCGATGCGTGCAGGACGGACTGGTGGAGTCCATTGAAATCCTGGGAGAGGCCGTCACTCCGCTGTCATTCTTTATGGCCGCCTTTACGGCCCTCTCACGGTCTCCAGAGAAACACCACATTTCATACCTGCTTGCGATTGTGTCAGCCTGCGCGCCCCGCCTTAGTCAAGGTATATTGATGCATCAGCTCGATGCTGCGATCACACTGACGGAGCAAATCATAGCGGAAAATGTGGCCACTAATCATCTTGTTGTGGCCAAGGCAATGAAATTTGCTCAACAACTCATGCTCTCCCTTCAACCTCCGTCCATGCGACTACTTTCGGCATTCTCTCGCTTGGAGCCGAGTAAACTGCAGGTGGAGACCATGAAAATGTACATAGTGGCCTTTCGCAAACTGCTGGAACGTGCGGCTCTGTGCGTGACATCTCCGCCACCAAGTGCACATTCCGTTCGTGATGCAAAAACCGGAGCCTACGTACTGAGTGAGAACCAAAGTTTTTTTGTGGAGGCCCTACCGCGTTTTGTAAAGGTGTGTGTTGCCAACTTCACTGACTCTCCTGTTAATGTTGTATCGACGACGACGTCGGAGCTTGCTGGACTCTTTCAGCGTACCATTTCGCCCTACATTGTGGAGTCGTTGGAGGGGCGTGAGATGATTGAGGGGGTTGTTTCCACGCACCTGTTGGAGCTTCTAAAACCGCATTGCCAACTTTACTGGGGGTACGCACTGGAAATTATGGAATCTCTTTTTGGCCGGTTGAATTATCTGAAACGTACATCGTCTGGGGATGCAATGTCTTTTACGCAGCGTTTTCCTTCTTTCCCTTTTCTTCTCCGGGTGCTTAACAAACTGCGGGTTATGGACGACCCGAAACTAAACGGGAGGATTGAGCGGGTGATGGTGGCTCTTGGGAAGGGCATGTCTGTTCAGGAGTTTGTGGGCATTATCTCGTTTGACCCGTGGCGGGCACATGACGCGGAGCTCAAGGCCGCCGACGCTGTTGCAGAGGAGGATGCATGGGCCACCAGTTATGTGCTTGGCGTTCTTCGAAGAATTGCGTCGCACGATTCTCTGCCTTTCTTTGTTGAGAACTTTTTTCCACCTATTCAGTTTGTCCGAAATATTGCCTTGGAATACGAAAAACAGCAGCGTATGGAATTAGCGACCAAATGGACGGCGTTGCTGCAGCAGTATTGGCGTGTGGGCGTCGGATTTTGCCACTACCCACGAATTATAACAAAGGACTCGTTTCGAGAGGTTGCTAAGCAGCTGGTAGGTCTAATGTCGCATCCACTCTTTGTGGACACCAGTGCGACCGCCTTGCACGTCCTCTGCGACGGCTACCACGAGCTTGCGACGACGGAGTCTCTGGAAGATGACATGGATGAAATTGTAGGCAACAACGGAGGCAACGAGGAGGAGCGTCTTGATGATGATCAACGGGAAACTTTTACACAGGGAAATAGGGCACTGCCGCAGAAAAGTGGCCTTGAAGAAGACAATTACTTCCTTGCCCTCAACGACCCTACATGGAATCGTCACATTTATCATGGCATCTCGCAGGAAAGGGCTGTGGATGTCTGCAAAAACGTCATTGCGAGGTTTAGCGCCAATATTATGCCGAAGTTATGTAACACTTTTGAGGGTCATGATTCTACGGCAATTTTGTTGGCAATACAGAGCTTCTCGCGTGTTTGCACACCGGACGTCATGCAGGTTATTCTTAAGGGCATTCTGGATCTTGGTACAAACATTGCCCTACAGACGCGGGAGAAGGACATTACAGCTGTGACGAAGTCAAACCACACGCCTTTGACAGGAAAACGTCGCATGGTACTTGACATATCATGTGCGGTGATTTCTCAGCTTCCTGCAGTGCAGGTCGAGGCGCTTTTCAATGACGTTATTGAGCCCGTGTTGATGGACCCGGCACCAGAGTCACGTTTGTTGCAGAAAAAGGCGTACAAGCTTTTGTTTGCCATGTTTGAACACCGTATGAAAGATATTTTTCCATTGTTCCCCCGCATTGCCGGGATTTTGACGGTTGGACGTCAACATATCACAATTTCAGGTATAAAAATGCGCCTGCGCTGTCTGGTATGGGCCCTGGATGCCTGCAAGATGTATTACCCAGAACAGATTGTTTCCATGATCCGGGCCATTGTGGGTGAAACCATCATGCTTTCACGCGAGCGTTCTAGCGAGACTCGGGCCACCTCTATGGATCTTTTAGAAAAGATGCAGCGTTACCTTGTCGGTGCTGGCAATCCGGTGAATATGCTTTTGCATCTGGTGCTTGCCGGGTTTTCAGGAAAGACGCCGTGGATGATTTCAAGCACTGTGGTGGCCATGGCGAAAGTTGTGTACGTCACCCATCAAGGATTGCCAGAGGCTGACCTTGACGCCGCCATTTCTCTTGGGTTCCGCATGATGGAGTCCGCCTTACCGGATGTTAGGTCAGCGGCAGCAATGTTTGCACGGATGGTGTTGAAACTCATGAAGCGATGTCGACGCGTTGCGGCGGCAGTGGAGAGGTCGCTACCAAAGCTGCTTCTTGCCATTGCTCTCACAACATCCCAACCAAGTGTATCTAGCAACATTCGTCTGCAGATGCGGGTATTGCTTGAGAAATGCATCAAGCGTTTTAGTTTTGAGCGTCTGGAGCCAATTTTCCCAGTTGGCTCAAAGAACTTTCTTCGCTACACGCAGAAGATGATGAGACGGGAGCAAAAGAAGGAAGAGCGCGAACTCATGAAACACGCGACCGAGAAGAAAAATGAGTTTGACCGCCTCTTCCTTGGGGCTGCGATGAAGGCTGGAACCGAGGATGATGCGGAGCGCGACCTGCTGCAGGCTGGTGCCTTGACAAGCCTGGTGTCTACATACGACTTGCCCTCTTTCGGCATCGCAGAGGATGCAGAGGACAGCGGTGATGAACTCGACAACATGCACCTCGAGTTTCAAGACGGTAAACTGCACATCATGAGCATTGAAGAAAAGCGCCAACAAGTTGAACGGCAACGTCGACAGGAAATGGCGGATCGTCTCTTGCATCGCGGGCGTCATCTTGCCCATGCTGATTCCCTCAACGAGCGAGCGTTGGGCATGCGCGGCAAGCGCTTTCGGGTGGAGGCAGAAGACTTTGAGAATGACGAACTCCTGCTTCGGTACGGCAACAAAATAAACAACGAGTCGGCTAGAGGCACGATAGCCGCGGCGCAGTCCCGCGTCGGTCCCGGAGCGAACCAAATTGAAAAACTGCGTGACCAGCAGCGTGAGAAGCGGGAACTGAAGCGGATGCGGGTCGAAGAGGATATCCGCAAGGGCGAGGAGTTTAAGGGAAGGGGCGACGGTGACGTGCGGCGCGGCAACATGGCACCATACGCCTACATTCCGCTCAACCGCCAGTACATGAACAAACGACACCAGCGGGAGGCGATGCAGCGACTCATGACGGTTGCCCACCCGCACATGAAAGGCAACAAGGCCAAACTTGCCAGGCGCGCCAAGAATAAGAGTGCAAATTGAAGGCCAGCGGGGAGGGACGGGCTCCGACGACCGCCGAGTGACGTTTCAACCACATTTACTTGCAAAAAAAAAAAAAAAAAAGAGCTCTGAGTGAAAAAGAAGAGAAAAAACAAAAACAAAATGAGAGAACTCATCGGGAGTTGGTGTCCCTAAAAAAAAAACAAACATATATATATTTCCCACACTGAAAGAAATGCGCAAAAAAAAAGACGTGTAAGCAATCCGGTAAACAAAAGAGAATTGGATGTTCACATGATAACGAATAAATAAAGGGAGAAGAACGAAAAAAAAAAAAAAAAGGATATGCCACGTGAACACCAAAGAAACAAGATGAATGAATCATAAATAAATATATATATATATGTACATGTATATGGTTGCATGTTTTTTTTTCTTCATTTTTTTTCACTTGCGACTTTTTTTTCTTAGACTTGTTTTACGGTAACAGAAAAGGCAAGGGAGAATTTAGGGAAGGATCCGACGAAAAGAAGGCGGAAAAACACACAAGGAATTTCAATTGTTGTTTGAAGGAAAAAGGAGAAATACGCAGTAAATGAAGCCTTACAAAGAGCTGGAGCGGGTTTTTACAAAACTATATCGCTATGGACATATGTTGTTGTTGGCGGATTGGGATTCGCATACAATGATGCCCTGCAAGGGTTCTGACGCACGTGGCGCTGCAATGGCGGAGCTTCAGTTGCATATGCACGACACAATCACCGCTCCCAAGATACGTGCTCTTATAGAAGAAGCTGAAAAGTCGGTGGGAGATCTTGAGAAGCTACAACGTGCCAACCTCCGTGAGATGCGCCGAGCTTGGGAGCTAGAAAATCTTCTTCCTGAAGAGTTTGTTGAGCGAAAAACGGTTCTCACGACAAAGGCTCACCAGGTGTGGAAGACGTGCCGCGAGAAAAATGACTTTGCGGGATTTCTCCCGACATTGAAGGAGCTGATTGCACTTTTCCGCGAGGAGGGGAAATTGCGCGCTGGCAACTCCGGCAAGCACCCGTACGAGGCACTGGTGGACATCTACGAGCCTGGTATGACGCTCCAGCGACTGGACGAGATCTTTGGCAATGTCAGGTCGTGGCTGCCGGGACTCCTGAAGGAGGTGCAGGAGAAACAGAAGGCACTTGGCGAGACCGTTTTGGAACCCAAAGGTCCGTTCCCCGTTTCAAAGCAGGAGGCACTCTGCCGGTTCTTCATGGACGTGTGGAAGTTTGACTTTGATGGCGGGCGACTGGACGTCAGCGCGCACCCGTTTTGTGGGAACTCAAAGGAGGATGTGCGCATCACTACAAATTACACTGAGAACCAGTTTGTCACGAGCCTGCTGGGTGTTATTCATGAGACCGGGCACGCCAAGTATGAGCAGAATTGCGGTCCCAAGGGATTTGAGACTCAGCCGGTGTGCATGGCACGTTCACTTGGTGTCCATGAGGGCCAGTCGCTGTTTGCCGAGATGCAGATCGGCCGCTCCGGTGCCTTTATGGAGTTTCTTGCCCCGAGGCTTGTAGAGTACTTTGGCGACCAGCCGGCCTTTACTTCTTCCAACATGAAGAGGGTGATCCAACGTGTTTCCCCTGGTCTGATTCGAATTGATGCCGACGAGCTTTGCTATCCGCTGCATGTCATGCTGCGCTATGAAATCGAGCGCGATCTGATGGACGGGAATATTGAAGCGGAGGAAGTACCGAGGGTATGGAATGAGAAGATGAAGAGCTACCTTGGCCTGGAAACTCTTGGCAACGACAAGGAGGGTTGTCTGCAGGATGTGCATTGGTCAGGAGGTATGTTTGGGTACTTCCCGACGTACTCGCTAGGTGCAATGGTGGCTGCGCAGCTGATGAGTTGTGTCCGGAGGGAGCTCGGTGAGGAGGTTGTGGACGAATGCATCCGGAAGGGTGACCTCGGTAAGATTCTTGCGAAGCAGAACGAGAAGATTTGGCAGCATGGCTCTTCGCTGACAACTGACGAACTGCTCAGGCAGGCCACTGGGGAGACTCTGAATCCTGAACACTATCGAAGGCATCTTGAGCGCCGCTATCGCGACGATAGGGGATAAAAAATAATTTTTATGCGTGCTTCTTTTTTTTTTTTTCTTATTGTTGTTTTTATTATTATTATCATTATTGCGGATGGGCATTTTTATTGTGTTTTGTTTGTGAGGGGTCATTAGGATTGGCAATTAAATGCGGAGATTTTGAATGAAATTGCATGAGCTGCTTTTTATTTTTATTTTTTATTTTATTTTATTTTTATTTTTTATTTTTTGTGTGTGTTTGTGCTTCTTCTGTGCCCTAGGGCCCGTTTTTGTCCTTATGGACTTTTCTGTGTTTTTGGCATTTATTCTTATTTATTTATTTATTTTTTTGCTAAATGTGTGCGTCTGTTAGTTTTCATTGGTGGGGACTCAGTAAGATAGAACACAAGCACTTTGAAGTTGACTGTGTGTGTGTGTGTGTGTGTGTGTGTGTGTGTAGAGCTGTGGCGTAGAATAGGAAGTGAAGAAGAGTAGAGGGAAGCGGCGAGAGAAGAAGGGGAGGGTGGCACCAGACAACACAGTGTCCGGCAAAGAAATATTCAAACTTACACAAATAAAAGGGGAAAACTTGTATCAGGATGCCGCAGAGCGCACAATCAGAGGAAGGACGCATCACCGTTTGTGTGCGAGCTCGTCCACTCAATGAGCGTGAAAAACGTTTAAAATCCCCGTCATGTCTGACGTTTCATGAGGGGAAAAAAGTGCAAATTTTCAGGAAAGGTTTCGCCGCGGATGGTGTAGAGGGGCTGGATGAGTCTTTCGTGGGGAAGGTGTTTGCCTTTGATCATGCCTATGACACTGACGTGCCACAGTCCTCTCTGTATGAGGACTTGGGGTTGCCCGTGCTGGATTCCAGTTTCAAAGGGTTTAACACCTGCATCTTTGCGTATGGTCAGACGGGAAGCGGGAAGAGTTACTCTATGATGGGTCCTTCTGGCGGCCGTGACGTGTTTGTGGACCCAGGTATCATTCCACGTTTGTCAAAAGGACTCTTTGCCATGCTGCGGGAACGGCAGGCGAAGAATCAGAGCGATCGTGAGGCAGCACGTGCGAATGCCGTGGAAGAACATGCCCTTCCACCTGAGGTAAACGTCATCGTTTTGGTGAGTTATTTGGAGATCTATCAAGAACGTGTGAATTGTCTACTGAACAGCAAACTTGATAATCTCAAAGTTCGCGAGCACCCCGTGCTTGGTGTATACGTGGAGGGACTCAGGGAAGTGAAGGTGTCCTCGGAGGAGGAGATTATGCAGATCATGGAAAGAGGCAATCAATGTCGTCACACAGCCGCAACGAAGATGAATGATCGTTCCAGCAGGTCTCACGCCATCTTTGCCATTTCACTCATTCAAGAGCGAAAGAGCATCACAAAGGACGGCAAGGTGACGTCAACAATGCTTCGGGCCAAAATTAATCTGGTGGACCTTGCGGGCAGTGAGCGGGCAAAGTCGACGGGGGCGGAAGGCGACACACTCCGGGAGGGGGCCAATATTAACAGGTCCCTGACAGTCCTCGGTCAAGTGATCAGTGCTCTCGCACAAGCAAGCAAACAAAAGCCGGACGCGGCAGGCTTGAAGCATGTGCCATATCGGGATTCTACACTCACCTTCATTTTAAAAGAGTCTCTTGGTGGTAACAGCAAAACATTTATGCTGTCGACTCTTAGTCCTGCGGCGGCAAATTACGATGAGACATTGAGTACGCTGCGATACGCTGACCGTGCCAAGGCCATTTTGACTCGAGCGGTCATTAATGAATCGGCAGGGGATAAGAAAATACGCGAATTAGAGGATGAGGTTCGTCTGCTACGAGAGAAAATGCGACACTATGAGGAAATGATTGCACGTGGGGAAGTGATGAGTCAAATGTCCATCAGTGGCTCCCCACAGTTGCGAGATAAAATTGGTAAAGATGGGGAATCAAAGGCCATTGTCGAAGATGATATGGTCTACGCCAACGCCAAGACACCGAGGCAGGCGGGAGATGCGGCGGTATTGGAAAGAGAATTACATCGCGCAGAGAGTTTAGTTCAAAACCTTGTAGCCAATAAGGGGATTTCCCTGGAATCTTTCATTATGCCTGCTTTTCATCGGAATACGTCTACAATCAGAGTGAACGGTAATGATCCTTTTATTCTTAATCTGGATGGAGCCGGGGATTGGGTAGTTGAGTACATTGTCGCTGGTATTACATATTTGGGAGTTGAGGCATCTGCGACTGGTAATGATGCGCGTTATATTGTGGTGAGTGGGAGTCAGACAGCTGGTATTGCCCCACAACATTGTTGTTTTGTGCGAAAAGATGGTGGCCAAGTGTTGCTTCGGCCGCTGGGTGGCAATCGGACCTACATTGACGATGATCCAGACCCCGTAGATGGGGATACTCCCATGAAGAGTGGGACTGTGCTTTGCCTGGGCGATGAATACGTGCAGTTTAAATTTATTGATCCTTCTGCACCACAGTCGGCGGTGCGGCGTCGTACTGTGCGAAATTCGGAAAGTATTCCAATGCAATCATTGAGTATTGACGCCAAGTCATCTTCCTCAAACAGCAACCATAGCTTGAAGTCATCTCCACTCCTTATTGGTGCTGGTAGTGGGAATGCTGGCCATCCGCCTGTACCGGCCCTAAAACTGAAGGAGGCACTGCAACGCATGCAATCGAACAGTGCACGTACGAAGAAGGCGCATCGGGACCCCATGACCCCAACGGGGAGCTCTTTGACGAGTGCCCCACACGGTATTTCTGTGGTGGGCATCACCCCACGGACGACACGGACGGCCGGGAAGGTAGTTATTTCCCCAAGCGATGAACTTACGGTTATTTATCGTCATACATTTCTTTTTCTTGGTGCCTGCAATTCTGGGAAGAGCGCCCTGCGTGAAAACTTGCAAAAACCCGACAGGTGGTATTCGATGTTCGCGAATGACAAACTGCATGTGCGACCAACTTTTGGCGTGGATTCCTCCTTGATTGAGACTTTCGCGGGAAATCAGCCTGTGCAGATGAATTTGATGGAGTTGAGTGGCAATCGTTGTTTTTCTTTTTTTGAGAGCCTTTTACCCACGCGGCATGTTTCATATGTCCTGTGTTTCTCGCTTAGGGAGTTGCCCACATTGGAGACGCTGCAACCTCTACTGGAGTTTATTCTCTGTCGAACCTTTAATAGAGATGCGACAGTGATTCTCATTGGGACGCACCTGGACGAAATCTCTCTTGATGAGATCAAGTTAGCTCATTTATTTGCCATTATAGAGACGGAGATCAATAATTATTTTTTCCTTGTACAGGCCATTCCAGAGAAACGTCCTTCTATACTGGGCCGCTTTGCAGTTGATAACGTTGGCCGTGTTGTAGTTTCTCCTGGATTTTCTAAGTTCAAAAAGTTTCCGGAGCTTTTGTGTTGGTTTAGCGATCAGGCTCTGCAGCGCTGCCGCAACGATGTGGAATTTCCAAATGCCCAGGTACCCTTGCGGGCGGTGGCTCTTTCAAAGAAGATTCGTGAGATAAATCGGGAAGGCCAATGGTACCTCACATCGGCAAACTATAAGGCCATTGCGAAGGCTGTGGATGCACGCTATGGTTTGAGCAGACATGATTTGCATCGCCATACACAGCTTCTGGTGGGATGGGGAGTTTTGCATCATCACTTCAGGCACCTTACAATGAAGAAGTATGTAGTGATAGATGTTCAATGGGTTTTCCGCGTGGTGGCCGTATTGGCCTGTTGTATGTATTCACGTGGTTATGGCACGGAGAACAATTCCTTGTTGCAGCCTGTTCCTTTGTTGTTTTGCCGGAAGACAATGGAAGACATGCAAAATGTGATTCCTTTTGACGTTAAAACAGTTATGGCCTCTGATCTGTGCTGTGTTTTCAACCAAGGTGTTGTCTCTATGAAGACAGCCATGTCCCTTTTTCGCGGTGTTCTCGGCGAGAAAGGCTTGGATTCTTGTCATCTTACCGGTATTTTGGAGCTTTTGCGAAGTTATGACCTTATTATTATGGGAAGCCGCCTGAAGTTCTCTTCCTTCATGGGTGAGCTGCGCGAGAATAAATCCCATGGGATGATGGACACTAGTGTGCTTCACGGGAATCATCCTGTGGAGAATGATGATGATGAAGAGGAGGAAGAGGAGGAGGAGGAAGAAGAAGAAGAAACAGCAGGGGCATCCGTTTTATCGTCAGAGTTTTTTATGCTCATTCCTGCCTGCTTTACGTGTCAACCTCCATCGGCGTTTAATTTGCATCTGCCCTCTTTCCTTTTCGGCCCCTTCTACCGCTTCACGCTCAACATTGTTCCGCACAATTTTTTTGCACGGGTCATGAGTCGCGTGGCGCACTTTGCGGAAAAAATATATCTCGGCCCTGTCAGTGCCCGTCTGGTTCTGGTGGAGAATCTTGTGAGTGATGATTGCAGCAACATTACAATCCGCGGCAGCATCTGTCATGCCTTTGGAGATCATGACTCCAGGAATGTTAGCGTTGGCACCATGGAAGGACGCAGAGCCGGCAAATCACAGGAAAAGACGTCTATGGTTGGCAAGAGCCACTTTTGGGGGTCCACGGCGTGGGTGATCAGCTCGGCTAGAAGCCGTGCGCTTATTCGCATGGTGCACCACTCCCTCCTCATCACATTCCACGACCTTGATGACGACGAGGAGTTTTACAATGGCTTGCGCCACGTCGTGCGCAACCTCGTCTACGAGAGTCCTGGTGTCAAGTGCGAGGAAAGCATTTTGTGCTCCCGGGATTTTATGGAAGAGGGGGAGAAGGCGAGTGAGGTTCATGGCGACAAGGTGTATTGGCATGATGTTGACGAGAATCTTAACTCGCTGGAGAAAATAAGACAACGCGAGCAATTTGCATTAATGACGGCGCGTAGCAGCACCTCCCGCACACTTTCTGGTGGTGCTGAGGGGAGAAGTAACATTGACGCATTGATGGAAGAAGAGGACGACAACATGGTTATACCGTTTGTACGAAACCGCACAGAGTGCGTTGATGTGGAAGCATCTGTGCGTCGCGTCTGCGAGGACTCCTTGTTGACTGACGATGTGCTGCACGGGGTGAGGGAGGCGCTGCATGCGATGAACAAAGCGCGGCGACGTGGCAGCGGTGCGGGGCAGTGTCGGGCGATGGACCGTCTTGTAGACGTGCTGGCACAGGCGTAAAAGGAAACGAAAATGGCACAAAAAGGAAATGCGGTGAGCACCAATAAATTAATTGAAGGAAGAAGAAGAGAAAAAAAAAAAAAAGAACGATAGGGAAACTAAAATGTTTTAGCCGTGTGTGCTCCGTGCGTGCCATTTTCATCAAGTATTCAGTAATAGATGCGAGTGCCCCTGTGGGGTTTATATGCCTTTCTATTTTTCTTTTTTTTTTTTTTTTTTTTTTTTTTATGTGTAACTTCTTGAATGAAATTGATGGCATGCACGCCAGCCACCATCGAAAAGCACGTCCAGTCCTGGTGGGTGGAGGTGTGAAGGAGAGCCCCCCGGCCGGCACGGTGGTTCTATAATCCGGTTTTTTTTTTTTTTCTTTGCCGAGAATTGATGAAATGTGTTTACATGTATTTACGTGCGTTGCAGGAGAAACCCAACACAAATATACTCCGCCAACAGGAATCCTTTCCCTTCTTTTGTTTGCTTGTTTTTGTTGTTGTTTAAAGGTTTGCTTTCTTTTCTTTTTTTTTTCTTTTTTTTTTTGTGTGTGTGTGTGTTTTGATGCTGCTGGTTTATGTACGGTTGAAATTGCAGTGACCCTTTGCCCTGTTGCTGTATCGGTGCGTTCTTCCTGCTTCTCTATTCACATCTCACTAATACGACTTGAGAGGGCGAGAGGCGATTTGCGTTTTTTTTTTTGTTGTTGTTGTTGTTGGTCACAATCCTGAACACACATACATACAGATACATTTTAAAAATTTTTATTTTGCTCTCACATATCTTCTTTAGATACATAAGCAGAGTAAGAGACCATCATGTCTACTGCCTACAAGCGGCAACGTACAAAATCCGCGTATGAGGAGCACAATGTGTCGGCGTTTGTTGAGAGCTGCATTCACTTCAAGACAAACCTGACGTTTCACACTGCGGCCGAGGGAAAGCAATTAGCGAACGAGGCCGTGCAGAATCATCCGCAGGAACCAAATATTGTCCTGCTTCTTGGCAATCAGAAGCAGCTACAGGAAAAGAAGGCATTGAGCACCTTTTTTCCGTACTACAGCAAGGCGGTGGAGTCGGCAATCAACGTTGCTGCTAGCGGTAAAACCTATTTGGCGGAGATTACACCACATGCACGTGTTCTTGTTGGCATGGTCTCTTCCAAGGCTTCTCGTCACAACTGCCCCTTGCGACCAGACATGATTTCCACCTTGGTTAAGGATGCAGTTCATCAGGCTCGTACAGGAGATAGTGAGAAGTCAGTTTTAAGGTCTGTGGATATTTATTGCTGTGAGTCGCAGAATGTACTTTGCGTTGCCACAGCCATAGCACGTGCTGCAAATCGCAGCTTTTCCGCAAAACGCGGTCGTGCGGAGGAGGGTTATTGGGAACGTGGGCTTCCTGTCCGCGTTGTTTTTGCGGCCAATACTACAAAGTCTGGTGCGGCAGTGGATGGGGACGGATTCGCGTGTGGGAGTCGTCGCGCACTGGAGGTGGCAGTGACGGTGGTGCAGTTGTGTCAACGGCTCGTAGACGCCCCGACGAATTTGCTCGACACCATCACCTTTACAGAAATTGCCGCGGGGCACGTGGAAAAACTAAAGGGAGAGGGACGTGACGTTTCCATCGGTATTATCGCTGGCGAGGAACTGCGAGAAAAGGGCTACGGTGGAATGTACGGTGTTGGCAAGGCGGCAGAGTTTCCACCGCACCTTGTTACACTCTCATACCAGCCGTCGAATGGCATCAAACCGCAAGAGAAGTTGGCGTTTGTTGGGAAAGGCATCGTGTACGACACGGGTGGCTTGTCCATCAAGACGCTTGGCGGTATGTGTGCGATGAAGCATGACATGGGGGGTGCAGCGGCCGTCTTTTGTGGATTTCTCGGTCTGGCCATGATTGAGGCACCGCAGCAGGTATCCACAGTTTTGTGCCTCGCTGACAATGCCGTGGGGCCACGCTCCCAGCGTAATGACGATATTATCCGCATGAAGTCCGGTCACACGGTTGAAATCAACAACACCGATGCAGAAGGACGACTTGTTCTCGGCGATGGTGTCTACCACGCCTCCGCCCTGTTGCCCTACACACCCGACATCATTGTTGACATGGGGACTCTGACAGGGACGCAGGGCGTCGCGACAGGCCGCTTCCATGCGGCCCTTTACGCCAATAACGAAGAAATTGAAAACCGCCTCTTAAAGGCGTCCCGCATTTGTGGTGATCTTTGCTTCCCAATCTTACATTGCCCAGAGTTTCATTCCTTGGAGTTCAACAGCAGCGTCGCGGACAGTCGCAACAGCGTGACGAACCGCGGCAACGCCTCTTCGAGCTGTGCGGCTTATTTTATTGGCACCCACATTGACCCCAAGTATCAGGGCAGCTGGGCGCATATAGACATGGCGGCACCAGTTTCACGCGATGAGGCTACTGGGTTCGGCGTGACACTTTTGCTGCAGACTTTTGCCATGTCTATTTACAACCCCGCGTGACCGCTGAAAGGGCGATGCGCCACTCAACTCCTTTTTTTTTTTTTTTTTTTTACTTTTGCCAGCGTATTTTACTGACATATTTGTGGATATATGTAAATAGGCATCCGCACAGATGTATAGGCCGTTATTGTTGGTGATTTTTTGTTGCCTTAACATAAACGGATAGTTCTCATGGCAAAAGAGCGTGGGGGAAATGGTGGGGGTGGGGTGGACATAAAGAAAAGTGGTGAGAAAAAAAGGAGGGGAAAACAAACACAAGTACGAATAATAAATAATAAAATAATAACAATAAAGAAAATAAAAGGCGTCGTGAACAAATGACTTTGGCTTTCATGCAGAAATATGTTTCCATCGCAAACAACAATGTAAATAATGTACGCGCATGTGCACACACACAACACACACACACACACTGTCGAAAAGGAGTGTAGTTAACGTCGGCATTCTGCATGGGGTCCTGGTATGTGATGCAGTGGCAATGAGAAGGCGGGAGGCGTTGGAGAGGAAAAGAAAAAAAAAAAAAAATGAGGCAAATAAAGGTAGGCAGACGAATTGAGCGGGGCTTAACGGGAAAAGTTCCTTTTTAAAAAAAAAGCGAAAGAGAACGTTATGTGGGCTTTGTGTTGTTCAACACGGCAAACAACGGAAAAAAACAAAAAAATAATAATAATAATAATGAAGTGGAAAGAAAGGGGAGGGGACCCACCTCCATTGAAACGGGAGTAACGAAAGGCGCATGCCACGGGCTTCTTTGAGTATGGTGAAGAGAAATTTGCGAACAAAGTCTAATGCCACTGTCTTTTTTTACTGGCTTGTTCTTACAGTTGGTGGAGCGCATGTTTGTTCTACCGGGAACAATTTCTTGTGCTCCACGAATTGAACACATGTCTCTTCTTCCCGTCGGGTGGATATCTATTATTATTTCCTTTTTGTTTTGCTTTTTGCTATTGTGACTTTTTAACGACGGCATTGTAAGTCCCGGCTGTCTAGAAAACAGACGTTACACGGGCCGTGGAGGTGGTGGTCGGGTTGAAGAGCAGTCGCAGCCGCAAAACTGGGACGCAGACCCACAATAAGTACTCACGTGAAAGTGTGTTATTTATTTATTTTTTATTTGGTCGGGCGTTGTAATGGCACTTCCCGGCTGGGCCCGTCGCTTTGAAGTCTACGCCATTTGCATGGTTTGGCCCATTGCCACCATCGTTGGGTTGGTGTCGACGTACAAGATCTTCATGTGGAGCTACGGCGGCCGTGACTGCTTCCGTTACGTGGCTATTCAGGAGCCGTTCAAGGAGCAGTGGTACCAGGCGAACCCAAAGACGGCAATTGGCCTCGACACGCCGCTGGCGCACGTGCCAAAATACCTCTCGACACCAGGCCACAGCACAGGAGGGGAAGAACACCTGCATCACCGCAACTACTAGGCCCAAAAGAGGAGAAGTGCGTTGGTTAAGAATGAAAGGAGAGAAGAGAACGCGTCTGACAGAAAAAAAAAAAAGAAAAAAAGGAAGAAAAAAAAAAAAAACTCTGCAGAACCATTTGGTGAAGACCCGTTCACTACGAAGTTTGCGTGGGGATACTTGCAGGTTTTTTGTTTTTGTTGTCTTTTTTTTCGTTTTTGGAGGGGGGTTGGGAGGGATGCACTCTGTGGGTGAAGCTGGAGGGTCACCACCCGTAAAATACATGTATTCTTCTTTGCGTTATTTTTTTTTTTTTTGCTCTCCACTGCCACTCTGCGCATGTGTGTTTGTCTGCATGCCTGTACGTTCCTTGTCTTTTTGTGTTGGTCTGTGGCGTGTTTTTTTATTTATTTCTGTTTTTGTTTTTGAAAATATAAAACAAACAAGCAAAACAACAACAACAGCACGAAAATAAAACACAAACACACACGAGGAGAACTTTTGGTAGGTCACAGCGCTAGTGGGACGCCATCAAAGGTGCTATTATTTTTTTTTGTTATTATTTTTAATTTTATCTATCTATCTATATATATTTTTTGTGTGTGTTTGTGTGCGTAATACGGATCATACAGTAATCAATCTATCTCTCTCTATCTGCACACACACACGCATACATCTATCTATCTATCTATCTATATATATACCTTCAACACGCGGAAAGACAACGTCGTTTGAGGGAGGCGCAAAACAGCGGATACGATGAAGCAACATGTATTTGTTATTCGTTCTTCGTACGCAGCGCTAATCTATGCCATTATTGTGGGCACGGGGATATTGTTTACTCTCTTTGTGGGGATTTGGAAGCACCATGATGAGTTGTTATACACGCACTGCAGGGTGCCGGAGTATTGGCCAAGTATAAGTACGCTTACCGGAGACTTTCAGCCGGAGCGACAGATATGGCGGGCCGCGTTTGTTTTATGCACACCGTTTCGTCTTGGAGTGACCATTTCGCTCCTTCTGGTATTTTGGCAACGTGCCTGCGGAGGTATGAGTGAATTGAGTAGCATGCGACGCTCCCCCATCAGTTTGGTTAGATCTTCTGCCTTTTTGACACTGGCGATATTTTCCTTCGATATAACGCGTCTTCTCGGTGCGCTAACGTGGACTATGATATCGTCCATTGAGAACCTCGATCGACACAATGTGGGGTTTGCGTTTTACGTCTTTCTGAGCTTTCTGGTGCAGGTGGTTATCGACATTGTCGTGCGGCGAAACGCGCACAATCCTGAAATTTATGCTTCATCGGACGATTATCGCTTGTCTTCTTATTGGAAACGTGTCTTTCTCATTGGACAGACGACGGGTGCTCTTTCCCACGTTATTTTTTACGTTCGTCACATTAACACATGCGCTCCTGGTGCATACAGTCTATCCACAATGTCGGAGTGGTTTTTTGCGGCGTGCAATATTTGTTTTGACGCCACGTTGTGGTTTGAACTGAAGAAGACCTCGTGGGCTTTTGGCATGACACCAGGGAAGTGCAAGGAACTTGCCTCGAAAATTGTGCAAGACCCAGTGGGGGAAGCTAGTAGCGGCAGCGAGCAGAGGCCGGGGGAATATCACACTTCACATGAGGTTAAATTTTTCCCAGAGGATGATAAACCCGAGGACGATGTGAAGATACACGAATTCACATTCTGCTGTGCTCCGTCGAGCACGACGATGTGGCTGGTGGACACGTATTGGGCGTATCTTTTTTGGGAGATGACTGTCCACGTGGTGGAGCACATGTACTTTATGCCCTTGGTGGCTATGTCTATTTCCTGGGAGCTGTTTGGTGGCTTTGCATATTGCTCACCGGTGCTTTTGAAATTTGCAGCATTCCGTCGATGGGCACTTGGTTCAGCGCCGTTTATAAAATCATCTCTTGTAGGAGGGAAGGGGAATAGCCAGCAACATGTTCCCATGTATCTCTTTTTTTACCTGGTTGCCTCCCTTTCCCACGTCCATGTCCAGGTGAAAAACGGTGAACGATTGAAGCTGTTGATGACAATGATTGGACCATTTTTTCTTTCCTTGGCTATCTTCTGTCGCTACCTTTACCCATCATCCTTTGTGCGAGACACCAGCGATGACAACTGTCGTATGCTGTACTCTTTTCCATTGGGCCTTGTTGTGAGCATGCTTGTTCGGATTCTGTACATTTCACAAGACCCCGTCTTTACGGATGCCATGTACGCTGGGCTGTTTGGTATTATTTTTGGTATCACATGTACAACCATTCTATACCGGTATGTGATGTTTTCAGAGGTCGATTCTAGCCAACGTGAGCCTGAATTAACATATGCGAATAACGGGAATCAGCAACGACATGTGCACTTCTCTCGTACACCACAGACAAACGCTATGGCAACTCTAGCATTGGCCTACAAGCCGTTTTCTCCTGCCATTTTGGGTCTGTTGTTTGGTTTTCTCGGCACCGTTTCCTTAACTTTTTTCTCATGCGCCAATTATATTCCACGACTTCTGGCAATTGATCCGTATCCAGCCAATTTGATGGTTGCCCTGAGTTTTTTTTTGGGCCTGTACTACTCGCAGGACATTCTACCCGTTGTATCAAATAGAAAACAAGGTTGGCTTCTGTGGGGCCGTTTGGGTTTTTGCCTTCTTGGAGGATGTCTCACAATGCTTTTTGGCACGCGTCAAACAAACCGCTCCTACGAACTTTCTCACGAGCACTATCCAACAACAATGAAGAGTTTGAAGGAGCATGTGGACATTCGTTTTTGGGCCGTAGAAGAGGATTTTTCTGGTAACAAATATATTGCCTTCTGTGGAGGAATTGTCATGACGCTTTGCATTGGCGTATTGTATCCACTTATCGTAGAGCTGGTCTTTGTCCATCAGCGAGCACGTCGTCTTTTGAACGTTGCCCCAGGGAAAACAGAAGATTCACACGAGCCTCACGCTCTTCCGGCGACACGTGTGACATCCTTTGAATTAGTATGGGCCTTGACGAGTATCGTTTTTCTTTTGCTTTTTGCTCTATGCATTTCGTACCCATTTGTTCCAATGGCATGGCTCGTGCGTGAGCGTTCCGTTTCACTGCACCTTGGCACGGTGGCCGGCATGTTCTTTCTTGCCCTGTACTTGTCTCGCCGTGTGGGGAATGCGGTCTCTGTGGCGGGGAAAGATTTTTACGAAATGAAGCGGCAACGGCGTATTCCGCTTATGATAGTTCTATTCCTCTGCTTTGCTGTTTTTTCTATTGTTATTGGCCGCTTTGCACTGGAGCCCAATAATCGTAGTATTCCCTATGGGAAGGACGCGGCCCGTCGCTTTAGTCGTGAGGTGGTGCATGTACACGAGGCTATAACGAGGCTAAAGACACAGAGGAATGTCATCACTGACCCTCTTTTAAAAAAGTATGAGGTTAAATTTCATGAGGAACACTATGGGACCCAATTGAAGTACCTGAAAGAGGCGGTGATGGAGGGGGACAGCAACAACTCGAAATTGATCGAATATATTCCAGAGGAAAAACACAGAATTTTACTCTCACTTTTAAGCTTTGAAGAAAGAGTGGAGGTTTGGGAGGCCGCGTTGGAAATGACGTTCTTTTCGGGCATGATATGGACCGTCCATTTTGCGCTTGACAACACAAATACGGATTCTCTCACAAGAATGGTGAAACAGGCGGATTTGACTGGAGCGGGTGTGATTGGGTTGCTGGAAAGTGACTCCATGCACTTAGCGAATGGAAATCGTGATATAGTCGAATTCTTGTCGTATCATCTTGGGTATCGGTATACCAGTTACGGACCCACCGCGCTGGACAACACGTATGGGTGCGCATTGATATCAAAGTACCCCATTTTAAATGTCCGGCGGTACATTACCCCCTCACCTCAGGGTGAACTGTCGTGTCTGATTCACGCCGAGCTTGATGTGTTTGGTATCACCATCCATACCTACGTGGATCACTTTGGCAACACGGAGCATTGGGGGGATGGGCTACTTCAATCGCAGTTTCTTGGTCGCCTTGTTTTACGCAACCCTGGGCCTTCCGTCTTTCTTGGCTACATTGTGTCGTACCCTGGAAACCCGGAGCGGTATGAATATTATGCCTCCCAGACAAAGCCCGGATTTCTCCGTGACACGGCACTCGAGTTGTATCGAAATCATTCGTGGTACCGCATGCAAGAACGGGGCGGCTACGATGAGCCTGTGCCGACGAGGACCACCCCTCCACCTGGTGAACCGTTGGACTTCAATGTCGACTGGAAAATGGAGCATGTGGGCCACCTTGAGCGGGGCATGGTGCCGGACCCCGCTTTTCGGCGAACACCAGAAGGGAAGGACCGACGCTACTTCAAATTTAACGACACCCAGCGCGTCACCACGTATCACCCCCGCTTTGAGTTTATCGACCGGTACTGCCAGTACATCTTTTACAAGACGGGGGCCACCAAGGATGAGCGGCCGGAGGATGCCCCAAAACTTCAGCCATTACAGCTGTACCTGTACGACTGGTGGCGGGTGCTGGAAGGGGAGGCGGCGTCTCTCTCGGACACGGAGATTCAGGTGGTGCAGCTTGGATTTAAGCTGCGGGAATAGAGTAAATGGTGTGAGAATAATAACAGAAAGGGGCAGGTGTGAATAAAGCAAGAACAGCAACACCGATTAAAAGTTGTTTATTTCCTTCTCTCCACCTTCCCAACACCTCCCCTGCGGTTTGTGTGCATTTAGCGTAAAATGTCTTTCTCCCTGCTTAGGGTTATGTGCTGTTAGATCGAGCTGAATGAAATGCGCTTTGCATGTGTGCGTGCGTGTGTGTTGTGTCCTTTGCAAAGCGGCGAAAGAGAACGGGGGTGAAGGGAAACGAAAAAAAAAAAAAAAAGGTTGTGAAAAACATTTAAGATTTCATCCACCTCGAGAAGATGGTCGAGATAAATAAATAAATAAATAAATGCGTACATATTTTTATATTTATTTATTTATTATTTATTTATTATTGTTATTTTACTTCCCTTTTTTCCTCCAACAGTAAAAACGGAAAAGGAAAGGAAAATGCGGGATGTGAGTGAAGCGGAGAAGAAGTCACGTTGAAGGCTAACCCCCCCCAAAAAATAAAATAAAATATAAAATATGAATTATGAAAGGGCAAGAACAACAATCAAAAAAAAAAAAAAAGAACAAAGAAATTTACTCAATCTTTTTGCATCTTATTTATTTATTTATTTTTTCTTTTCTCTCTCTTTTTATTTTTGAAAATTATTACTGGATGTCATTGGCACCGATTATTTATTTATTTATTTATTTTTTTCCTGTGGACATGTATTTATGTGCGCTGCTCCTTCTTGTATTTTACGATTTCTGCTATTGAAATGACGTCACATTTTATTTATTTATTTTATTGTGTGGGGGAGGGAAGGGGAAAGCAAGAACGGCAAGGGCGGGGGGTTGTGGACTGACGACACCGCTGAGGAAGAAATCGGTGGGGCGGAGTAGCGGGAGGGATTCTTTGATGGAGCAGTTGTCGTCTGTGGCGAGTCGCGCGTTCTTTGGAGCAGCAGGCCGCAGCTTGGCGCATGACGAGAAATATCCGGAGACCCCTTTTCTCTTTGGAAGCACGACCGTCTGTGTACATGGAAAATGGTATGTGGAGAATCTAACATGTGATTGCGATGCTGGGTGGGCCAGCGACCCGCAGCAGAATGCTCTTGCTCCGAAGTTTTTTTTGTGTAATCTCAGTGTCCCGTTGCCCCTTGCGTCCAAAAAGGATTTTCTTGATAACTTTTTGGGCGGTAAGTTCTCTCCAACAACTCTTGTTACTTTTATTTTTCTTTTCATTGCCGTCATCAGTTGTTTTATTTGCCGCTGCATTCGTTTCTGCCGTGAATCTGATGCCACAAATGAACGCACTCTGCAACCGCCGCAAATGCAGGAGGGGATGGTGAGTGTGCCTGCTGAATGCCCCAATCAGTTATTCGGTTCAGTTTCGGCTGCTCCTGCGTACATGATGTCGCCGCCGAGGTACCCGGAATTTACAACTCATCTACCGGCCGAGTCCCCGTATCAAAACCTCTCCGTTGGATTTGGGCATGCGTACAGCCACAACGACCCCTTTGCTGAGCAACCCATACAGATGGAGGAGCCGCAACATGCAACCGGCAGTTTATATCCCTTCACGAGCCACAACCAGCTGATGCCTGAAGATTTACAGAATGGCGGTGTTGGCGGGGCGGAGAAGGGACCGTTTACTCTCCGGCATCTCACTCATTTTAAAGAGAAGTCATCACAGGATAACTTCATTCCCACAACAAACCATGGATAGTGATGGGGGAGGAATAACCACAATTGACAGAATTTTTTTTTTTTCTTTTCTCCCTTTTTTTTTTTTTTCTTCACTTCATACGTTGTTCAATAGCCGATGCATACATGGGCCGATTTGTATAAAATAACTGCTTTTGTCACTGTCTCTTCTGAAAAAAAAAAAATAAAAATATATTTTGAGTGTTGTTCTTCTTGTTGTTAAGATTATCGAGCGACAAAGAAGCAGCAACGTAGAGGAATTTGTTTGTTTGTTTGTTTATTTGTTATTATTTTGGGTCGATTTTATTTGCCTAGTGCTTTTTATTTCGAAATGAATTTTTTTTTTTTTTTCTTTCGGTTTGCTTGGTTGTTTCGTTCCCTTCTTTTTTCTCTTTTCTGCTGCATCACGCATATGTCTTTTATACGTTTGAAATTTTGCTTGCATGTTTTATTTTTATTTTATTTTATTTATTTTTGTGTGCGTGTAGTTTTGGAAATAATTGCGTAGAACCAATCGGTGGAAGGGCATGTCAGGCCGGTACGCCGGCAATACTTACTACGGCGAGGGGGATGATCGCTACGTTGATGCATCTCCCGCCTCACCGCTTTTTAGCACGAACCAAGTGGTGTTTTGTGTCAACCCGGTGCTGTTCATGAATTGTGGGATTCTTCTTGACGCCCCCAGTGGCCTCACCACGTCCGCCATCATGAAGATAAGGCAAGAATCTTCGAACAGCGCTGCCATCTCGCTCGCCATGTGGCGCGACATTGCCGTCAACGTCATTGGGATAAGAGAGTCGGTTGCATACTCTGTCTTTGAGGTGGTGTATGCCCTCACTGGCAGTTTTGTACAGACGCCGGTGGCACCGCAAGTGAACGGGAATTTGGCGCCCGCCAAGTCGATAGCCGAGTACCGCCAGGAGGGCAATCGGGCGCTTCTCAAGAAAATGGGGGGATCCGTGGACGAGGCACGTTGGCCTGCCGCCTCCGTCTCCCGGCAGGTGAGTCTGCCAGCGCTCACCATCTTCCTCCTTGCGCAGCTTATTCTGGAGCACCCACCCCGAGCGATGTTGGGAGAAATCAGCCAGGAGCTCATCATGAGCAGCGTGCGACAACACCTGCATGATTATATCACGGCGGTTGCAATTACACGTCCGGGGCGCCTTACCGTCGGGGATGCGCAGGAATTGAAAATTCTCTTGCGTGAGTTTGTCAATGGAGTTGAACAGCCGTTTGGTACGAGTATTGGTTTTTTGTGGCCCCGTTCTGAAAAGACCATTGATATTACAATTCTGTCACAGTTTATACGCCCTAGAATTATGCTTCCCAGTGAACTTGCCGCCACCACGACGTCTGTATCATTTCGGAATAATGTAGTTGTAAGGGGATTGCGAGGTACTGTGTACATTCCACCGTGCCCCGTGATGCCAAATAACAGCACGAAATTAATGATTTCTTCCAGTTACACAATAGAAAAATGTTCTCAATCCAGCCTTTACATTACATCGGACCTGCCGCATACCCGTCTCTCTCAACTTGTTAACTGTACAGTAGCTATCGGTCCTGTTGGTGGTGTATTATGCATAGATCGCTGTGAGAACTGCAACATATCAGCCTTATGTGCTGCCATAGTGGTGGGTCAATGCAAAAATGTGACCATATTTGTATGCACAAATACCCCGCCTGTCCTTTCCTCCTATGACGGTGTGAGTACATTAGAGAATGTCCGATTCGCCCCATATAACTCCCACTACTCCACATTAGAGGAGCATCTGGCAAGCTCCGGCGTCAATCCGAAGCTGAACCTCTGGAATGTTGGTCTTCCCACATCACAGTACGTTCTTCCTCCAGATGATTTTACGCCAATATGTTTTCCGGTTGCTCCACACACAAGCGCCGTGATTACGACCCGCACAAATCCATGCCCCCTCCCTCGTCTCTACGCCGAGGCCCTAGAAAGACGCCTGCAGCGGTTTCATGACACGTCGGCACAACTGCAGGAGGCGTACCAGCGGCTGGAGGCGGAGGGGCGAAAAGATCTGGCGGAGAAGCTGCGCGGGAAAGTGCACACAATGTTCATGGAGTGGCTGCGGCGTACAGGACAAGAAAAAGGGCTCATCAGCCTCTTGCATCAGGGCACGGAGAGCCACTCCCAAAATTAGGGGCAAGAAGAAACACGTGACGAGGCGGAAAAAAAGTAAATAAATAAAAAGTAAAAAAAAAAAAGACAACAACAACAACAACAACCAAAAAGAGGTTGAAAGAGGAATTGAGGAGTTAATGGTGGAGGAGCGGTAAAGGAAAAAATGCATTTGTTCAGTTATTTCTCTGCATGCCTCCTTTTTTTTATTCATTAGAAGTCTTTAGAACGAATGTGTGTCTGGAGATGGGGCCCCGCAGAAGACGGCGCCTCTTGTTGAACCCAATTGTAGTATGTGTTTGTTTGTTTTTGTTTTGTTTTACCGACCATCTGATTTTTATTTTCGAACACACCGCGTTGGGAGGCAGCGAGTATAATTTCTTTTCTGCCGTCTCGCTCGCCCCCTTCAATACTCCCCACGCGGCGGGGAGCCCGGTGACTGTGGAGAGGATTTTTTAAAAAACTGCCACTCGGTAAGTTCACAAGGCGCCCATTTATTATTAAGCGTTGGAGGAATTTTATGTAAATTGAGGACAGCGAGGGTACGGAATCAAACTGCGATATTTTGTTTCCTGCATTTTTTCCTTGCGTGGGAGCGGGAGGAGGAGGAAGCCTCATCCAGACGCATATTTTTTCTTTTTTCTTTTTGTGATGGTGGTGGCGGTGTAGCGGGGGGATCGTTCTTGTATCTTCCTTTTTACATATATGTCTGGGTCCACAAATATATATATTAAAGTATATATTCGTCTGTGTCTCGGTCTACACATGCGTATTTTTTTGCTGGTGTTTTGCTTGTATTTCTTTTTTTTTTTTTTTTTTTGCGAGGTATTTGTGTTTGTTTGTGTGGTTTTTGTGATGCAATCTGTAGTTGAGGCCGGTTTCCCCTCATTCTTACTCATGTTACTTGCCTTCACGATTTTGTTCCTCTCTAAATGGAAAAGAAAAGAAAAAGAAAACACGAAAAAAAACCTGCCGTGTGGAGACAAATATGTGTGCATGTGGTGTGGTGTATGCCGATAGGTCACTCATCCCTGTCTTTTTTTTTTTTTTTTTTTCTTCTTTTTCCTCCGCCTTTTGACCTTTTGCCAGTGAACTGTTACTGAGAAACAGATACATCTCGGACCGGCGTACCGTCTGCAAAGGCGAAAAGGAGAAGACGTGGGTGAGTGTGAGTGCGCGTGGGGGGAGGCAGGGGAAAAAGTCAACATCAAAAAAGTGGAAAAAGAGGAGAGAAAAGAAGAACAACAACAGCATCAGTAGTAGCAGCGAGAAATTGGAAGAGAGGAAACGGCAAGAGCAAACAAAGGCAGAGAAACACACCCACCTAAGGAAAAATTGCGGGAAGCAGAAGTAAAGATTGTTTGCGTCTGCCGACACGACCTGAAAGTCTCGTACGTACACGCGTAGGTACGAATATACCCCCCTCGTTGTATCTGTCTGCCGCTGTTGTGTGATGGAGCGTGTGGGACTTGTAGCGGTGGAGGCGCAGCTATTTTCCGCGGCGCAGCGTCATCTTCAGGTTATTTTTGGCGCTGCAAATGCCACTCGTGTCGATGACTGTGCGTTGTTTGAGTTTTCCCCATTTGGTGAAAAAGAAGAGAACCGACTTGGCGATGAGGTACAGAGACTCTTCACGGCACTTGTGCGTGAAGTGACAGGCCGGACGAGCCTCCGCCTCACCGGAGAGGATGATGAGACGGATGTCACCTTGCTTAGGGAAAACACCGTAAAATTTGGAAATTTTATGGCCGATTTCGTTGAGATGGACGCTCTACCGGGGGCTTTGGACTCTCTGCCAAGTAATCCGCATGTGTACGAGATGCTTGAAATGCTCTACATGGAGGTGGTTGGGGAGGTAGAGAAGGGGGCACGGCTTGTGACGGAATTTCCAAAGGTGTTGTGTCCTACTGGCACAAGGTGGGACATTCTTCTTGCGAAGTCAGTTTGCATACAAGTTTTCTCTGGAACCGAGAAGGAACTGATTCCAAATAAAACGGTAAAAAATCTGGATGCGTCAATGCTTTCAGCGTCTATGTCAACAACAAGGTGTTTGCCCGACGGCCCCTTGATGAAGGTGTGGATGGATCTACGGGCGTTGGGGAATGCCATCTCTTCCTATGCGACAGCACCGATTGAGAGTGAACTCCCTTCCCAGTGGCGTCTTAAGTCATTTACATTACTGGAGGCGTCAGAGGTGCTGAATCTTGTACATGAATCCCTTCGTTTGTACTGGAACTGCAACCCACGCAACGAGCGTACAAAGGTGAATGCGAATTCTCTGTTATGCATTGTGTCCGGGGATCTTCGGGAGTACATTAAGGGGCAAATTCTGCTTGAGAGCTCGGATTGGCGTGGACCTTGGCGCATGAATTTGGAACACCTTGAGAAGGCTTTGGCATTGATCACAGAGTGGAAAGGTATAACGCATAAGCTTCTAAAGGAGGAGTGGGCAGGCTGGGATGGCGGCAAATTTCACGACGAGACACTTGAAAAGTTTTCTGGGCGACTTCGAGATGTTGTCCACATCCGACAGTTGTTGGCAAGCGCAAGTAAACTCACTAATGGAGCGATAGAAAACACTATTGTGCCGGAAGTTATATTCAAGGAGGAGAGCCTTACGGATAGCAAGAGCACCTCCGATGAACGGTGGGCAAAGTGTCGGGGGAAGTTCGAAAAGGAATTTTTATTTCTGGAAGACAACTTGCGGGGGCGTGTGAAGCAGTTATTTGCCACTCAGCAGCAAGGATCCGATGGCTCTCTTCGTTTGCTGCAGCAGCATCGCATACTACTTCAGAGGGAAGGGGTTCGGAGTGGTATTACAGGGGAACTGGAGGCCGTTAGGGGTGTTTTAATCCAGCACATCGAACAGGCACGTGGACGCTATGAGAACAAGAAACGTCGGGCCACCACAGAGCTGCAAATGTTACGTTTGCTGAAGAGCTGCCAGGCGGAGTGCGCGCAGGTGCTGGAGACCGCGGCGAAATTATTTGGTTTCTCGGCGGATCTTGAGAAGGTTTTAGACCCGGCTCGAGCGCTCATTCACGAGACACAGGAGGGTGAGCAGGAGGCGCTGACCTCGTGGAAGCAAAGCATGGAGACACAGTGCAAGAAGGTGGTCAATCTTCAGGATGTTTTTGTCATTAGTGGCGTTGACAAGGATTACATCGTGTGTACGCTGCATGCGTCCGTTAAACAACTTATCCAGGATTTCCACAGCGTGCGTGGCTGGTGGGGTTGCGGCGGTGGACATGAGGAAGGCGGTAATACCGAAAAGAAAAGTAATGGAAGACAAGGCATCAACAAAGACAGCGCCAGAAGCAGCGGTAGCGATGATAATAACGATAACAATCATCAAAATTTTACGGATGTCCAAAACACCCGCCGAGGCGGCAAGGGGTTACGGCTCAGCAGGGAGGTGGAGCACACAATAGATTTGTGCGAGCGATTCATGAACGCCGCGACACGCACGATGCAGATAGTTAGTAACTACAACACCGTGCAGCGGCAAATGCTGCACTGTACACGCCCAGTGTTGGACGCTGCGTCGACGCGTGTACGAGCGCAGATTTTTTACGGGGACACGGATAGCCGTATCATTCCGCTTGCCAATTATCATGAACTGGAGGGGATTAACATGCGGTTTCAGAACGCTGTGGAGGCTCTCAGTAACGACAACCGCAGCATTCGCCGCTTTCACGGTGATTTCATCAGTCAAGTGATTGCACTCCATAACGTGGACCTCACACGACACATGGACCAGTGGCGAAGCGCCGTGGACGGCATGCGAAGCGCCTTTGTAGAATTCCTTCACACACATCGTTTTGGCAATTATGAAACCTGGCGACAACACCTTGACGCTCAAATTTACAAGGCATTGGAATACCAATACCAACGCGGCTTAGAGACTTTACATGAAAAGATGGAGGAGTTTAAGGTGGAGCTTGTCTTCAAACAGGGTCAAGTGCATTTTAAGCCATCTTTTGAGGCTGTGCGAGAGGCATATTACGTTAAGCTACGAGAGTTTGTGAGCGTGCCTCTACGATTTCGTGGATTGCAAGAAAAAAGAGAGTCCGGTGGACCATACGAGATGTATGAAATGATGCCACTTGTGAACAAGGACCTCCTTGTAACCGTGCAGCTCAAGGCATTGGATCTTTTTGCGAAGCTTTCTCGCCTGCGGAAGGTATTTCAGGCGCAGATGGTGGTTGGCGCATGTGGCGTCAACGGTGCTCCAGACATTGACACTGTGGTGGAAGAAGTATGCAGAACATTGCCACAGTTTGTCGACGGCTTCAATACTGTCAAGGAGCAGGCTCAAAAGCTCCAGCGCATTGAAAACAACATGAAGGTGGACTGCTTCACGCTCAGCAACATTCCAGCGAAGGCCAGCATGGAGGAACAACTTCACCGCCTCGAGGAATCGTTACTCAATGCGATGCGTAAGACGATGCAGAAATCGCTGGCGGATATCGACGATTTTGTGTTCAACGCCTCCAACATCATCACGCGACAGCCCATAACGATGGATGAGGTGGGGCAGGCAAATAAGGCGTACTATGAGTTTGTAGAAACCATGCCATCGTACGAGGCGAAGTTCACGGAGGTGGAGAAGATGAACCGAGTTCTTCGCCAGCAGTGTGGCACGGCGATCGACCTCAGCGCCACAAAATCGCGTTGGGAACATTTGTCCGAGGCGGTGGCATCACATCACAAAATCATTGACGCCTCCGTGTCAAAGATGCGGGTCTCGCTGGATGGCATGATTCAAAAGCACCTCAAGGACGGACAACGCTTTACAAATAAATGGGAAAAGCAAAAGCAGCATCTTGTACTTGCCTTCAAGGAGAATAAAATGGAGCTCATTAACAAGACTTTGGCTACACTAAAGGATGAATTTCAGGAGCTGGAGGATTTGCGGGCCCAAGGACGGGATCTTGAGTCCAAGTGTGAATACTTCAAATCCCCCCCTCCCAACTTTCACCAGATTACTCTCACGGTGGAGGATGTGATGGAAACAGCTGC